TCAGTATCATTCATATTCAGCCATACATGCAATTTCTTTTGATACGCCTGTTGTTAAGCTTTATTTTTTCAATGTTAAGGAGTGTGTCTTCCAGTCACAACTTTAATAAGGTTTCGTTTATATCAATAAGATCCCTTCTGGATGAGTATCCAACATTCAAATATACGTTAATTTCATAACTGGTTCTCTAGGCAGTTTTCCTCATGAATTGATATCATTTGGAGGAAGCAGTGAGCACTCACGATCCCAAGAGGATAGAGATCAAATATATCATACTTTAGGGCCGAAACATTTCCATTTAGCCAGCGGGTTGGAATCCAATAGCCTATATTTTCCTACATCTCTCAATTCATGGAATAGCCTTATCATCATTCAATGCCATCAGTGATAATCTCTCCTTAAATTCAACTTTGATGAGTGCTTAAACTACGGCTTCTCTTTAGAACTTCCGGAAATCGAAGTACCAAGCGTGACTCAGAAGATAGTTTTTCCAGATTGAGACCAATCAATTTCTCTAAGTATCCGTTCAGATTAGTTTCCTAAGGAATTCAAAGACAGAAGGAAAATGTATGAATATAATTCCATATTAGATTTTTTAAATTTGATTTATAACATACAGTGATCTAGTATTGTTTACTTGACGTTTCCAGCATAAATTATTGCTCATAATCATATCAATGTAATCACACCGCTTCCAACAATTGATTTTTATAGTCCTGTCAGTTCATATTCTTTGTTTTTGTCATAAGTAAAATTTTCCACATCTCTGGTATAGCATAGGTGTTGAATCATTCCTTTTACGTGTTGAGTATTGATTAGATTGATCGACTTTTCTCCTCAACTATTTATATTTGACTTAAGTACAATGGTTTCATCCCACTCTATTTTATGGTTATGTTAATGAGTGCATTGCAACAGTCGAGATTTTTCATTGTTCTAACTGATCCTATTGCGGTTTGTCACTCTATATTTGCATGAATTTTTATGTTTGGCTAATCTAACTTCCCCTGACCGGCTGGTTTCATCTATGTATTTGACCTCGCAGTGATCACATGGAATTTGATAGATTAGATTACTTTGCTTCTTTCACTACTACTGACACGTTAATAATGAATTTAATGCCAAACAGTTGAGGATGTTGTCTTAAGTATACGTGTCATATATCTCTTCTTTTCCATGTGTACTGAGTTTGTGTTTGAAATATTAAATGCGAGGAGATGGTACGATAATCAATAGGGCAACCTAAAAATGAAACCTTATGGAATTTAACTACTTTTGGTTACAATTAGCAGTATAGCTTTCCCGGCAGTATATTTGAAGGAAAATGTGTACTCTCTTTAGAACTGAATTAATCTTAAGTAGATAATCTGAATGTCAGTCCTGCATAAAGCTAGAAAACCCATAAAATTCTAGTGTCACATGAAAGCAAACATACTAAAAGAATTTCTTTTGCTTTGTCATGTTTCCATCATATCATTTGCATTATGGGTCAGTTAGATATTTTACACTTGACGCAAGATCTGAATGGATCACTTGACTGAAGATAAAAAACCAATAACTTAAGGATTTGTCAACTGTCTGTTTCACTTTCTTCACCCAAAACTGAATACTCATCAGTTTCACTAAATTTACCCTATGGCTATTAATTTTTGTACAACCAATGAAGCCTTATATAAGTTTTTTGACTTTTCATATCAATTTCATCCAAGCTGTAGCATTCAATTATATGGAGAGGAACATATGAAGACTGTTCAGTAACTTATGTCCATTTAATTTACAGGAAAGAATAGATTTTACAATGAGTTCTACTATTCATGATAAATCAATTTTACCTCCAACTGGTGTATTCTAAAGTTATGCATGCTACATTTCTCAAATAAGCGTTTTCCATAACTTCAGATGCATAATAAGCGTAAAGGACATAACCTTACTATCTAAGTCAAAAATATAAACGTGAGATCGCACCTACATTTTATTGTTCTAACTTATAGGCTTTCAGTAGTCCATAAATTGATGTCGGTTTTTCTTGATGATTACTTTTGAAATCGACAAGTCTAGAAAACTTCAAGTAGACTAAAACGGTACATTACTACTCTTTTGAATGATGATAAAAGTGGTTAGAAATGAAGTGCTTTCGTCAGGTAGCGAATGTGATATATGCAACATGTTCTCTTCCATATGATATGGGCTGTCAGCTGTATTTCGCTGAATCATGATTTTCAAATGGTTGACTTTAACGTAGGCTATCAAATGCTGTCGAAATGCTTGCTGTTTGAAAAACTGTGCGAAAAAGTATTCCTGTAGTCTGAGGTCTTAGCAATTCATTGAGATTGCGAAGAACGTAATATCATTTTAATCATGTTTGAATGCAGTGGAATGAAGCTCAATTGAACATTGATTTAGTGATCAAACAAATCAAAACCCATGAAATGAACTTAAAGTGCTATCATGACTATGTTTATGATTATTCTTGCATGTGTCTACTGGACGACTGACTCTTTTACTTTTTGGAGACGACTTGGAATGAAAAAACGTCGAAATAAAGATAATCATGAAATAACAGGATACTCGGTAGATATTTGCGCTGTTGGGTACTTTTTATCTGAGCTTATTAACGCAATCAGCAACCATGACGCTCTCATACAGCTAATGACACATCCACTATGAAATGTCTTAAGTTAAAAAAGTTGCGATTCCTACTACCGCATACTTCCTTTTCTTTACGTATGTCTAATTCTTGCGTAACAGCGTGAGCAAATAAAATGCAAAACATTAAACAGAGAAAATAATAATACATGTTTTCAGTCCGTCTGGTCCGATACACATGTGATATTTGGTACTACGCCATGCCCACTAAAGAAATATGAAGAATGTGCATAGGTACGCTTCAAATATAAAAACTAGGCTTATAGTTCGATTTTATTGCTGTCTAGCTTACTAATAAACACGGCTAACGCTGAAAAGTGATTGGTAAATTCTGGTAACCCATTATACTTATTATTTTGTAAAACCTGTTGTTCAATCGATGACTTACTAGATTCACCTATTTCTCCTTTGTGAAAATACTTTGCATTTTACCTGTCAGACAGACATGAAACTGTGCCCCGCACGTGGTTGTATGAGATTTTTAAGAAGGAAACTGTAAGAAGCTGCAGCGTCATCAGGCAGTCAGACGAGAAATCAGTAAAGAAACCTACTTTCACCATAAACATATAAATGAAAAATGGGTGTGACTAAGGATAAATACATAGGGCTCTATGTGCACTTAAGCACATGTGTACGCATGTTTTCATGCGAAATGTAAATATTAGGATATAAAGGAGAGTGTGCACACATATGTCCACCATTCAGAGGACAGAAATCCAATGTTTAGTGCCTAAGTTTCCTGTTTGAATTAGTCTGTAACCAACTACTACACACATTATTTTCAAAATATCTTCATAACTTATAAAACTTGTTCTGCTGCATACATCGTATAAATTATGTCAGGTTGGTAAACACACTCCATAGCTATAACTGTTCGAGACTTTTGTTTGTATCGTAGCGAAAATATAAAGAAATTTGATGTCACTTACTTATTTTATCATGGCATCCCAAAATGAAAGTAGAAATACAATTTGAAGGTTTGTGGGGATTTATTGATTTCAAGTTGGTATTCATCACAGGCTGAAATCAGTGCATATCTATGACCTTCTAAGAGGCTGTTCATGTTGCTGTTGCCTAAAAAGTGACCACTGTATAGTAAATTAATATGCCCCAGTACCAAACTAATTAGTACCTTACCTACTTGTAAGTACTGAGAATGAAAAACAAATCAGAAGATACGTTAGATCGTAAAAAGTGTTCAGGAGAGTAGCCTATATATTGGTCTGAAGCGAAAACATTATATAGGAGGGAAGTTAAACTTATCCGTCTATGAATGGCTGGACTATGAACTCTGAGTTTGCTACTGACCGGTACAAATAGGACTCTAGGAGTCACCAGTGCAACCCAGAGGATACGTACACTTTAAAACAAGACTAAATTCACCTGTGGAAGATTATTTAGCTACTATTTAGATATTTCATATACTTATTTATGTACTTTGAATCTAGCTGTATTGGTGCCAAGAAAGTGCGCTACATTCCCACCAGAGACCGAACCCAGGACCTTGAAGTTTCGCAGTGAGCAGATTATCACTGAGCCAATGGGTCGGAGTCCAACAGTCCACATTTTCCCACTTTTGTCAATTGGTGGTTTGTCATGATCTGTAAATTATGCCATCGCTAAGTATATATCTCCACATCTGGTTTGGCTTGCCTCACCTGTCACACCTCTCATCAGAACTTTGAGAGGTCTCATCTTGAACCATTTTACTAATGAGCACTGGAAATTAATTCAGTTTGGGGATTTTTCGGGATTGCAAGTTAGTATTCATCACAGACTGACATAATTTGCAACGCAAGTATTTTTCCACATCTCAAAAGGTGCTGAAATTAAAACTATGATAAACATTTCTCTGTAGCTTTTTGTGATAAGTATAAAAAAATTCATTACTTTACAAAGGATACAATCCATTCATGGATACGCAGTTCGATATTATACACAAAGCCAGCGTAGGAAATCAACAATAGCATATCAGGGCACAGAGTTGAGATATCTATATTTAGCAGTGGAGCGTTTTAGACTTTAGCACACGAAATACAGTTCGCTGCAACTTATAACTAATCGGAACTTCGGAAACAATGCCTAATAAAAATATACCTTCAATATAATGAAAGAATGGATAGAACCTAAAATGCAATCAGTAACGCATCAGAATTTAAATAAGCTATATAGAAGGAGAGTTTTTAACATTTCCTTGTCCATCCCAACACCTATTAATAAAGGGAATAAAATTTCATGAAATCTTAGCAACTATTCGTAATAATGTACAAATTTCCTTTTTCCTCTGTAGATACTGCATCCATGTATTGCTCATCATAATTTTTACTCGTGTCTCTTATTGCTTCTCTCTTTAGGGTAATACGGCTTTTACTCGAACAATGTGCCTCAACACCATGGATAGTAGACGAACCTCAACCTGACGGCTTAACTGCCTTGCACCTGGCATCGCTGAATGGAAATATGGAAGCCGTAGATCTCCTTTTGCAGGCAGGTGCTAGCCCAAATCTTGTTGTTCGTCGTCCCGCTGGTCTGTCTCCTCTGGACGGTTGTGATGAAGAAAAATTAGGTTCTGTGTTTACACCACTTCACTTAGCTGTACACAAAGCACATCCAGATGTTGTATGCTTATTACTATGCTATAGAGCCAGAGCGGCTTGCCGTAGTGGAGCAGGACGTAGTCCAATGCAACTGGCATTGAGTGCTCTTGGTCAGACACAGGATTCACAGGTATGTTTTAAAAAAAGATTACCCTTTTCTTAAGAGGTTCCTTTTCTGTGTCATGGTTTATGGTTATCACTAATTAGTAGTTTCTACAGAATCAACTAAAAAAAACTTCGTTTTAGCAATATATTTAAATATTTTTTCGCAGTAATATGACTGAATTAATTAACCACCGGTACATAACTGAATAAAAAGTGCTTTCATGGTGTTTGCAACCTTATTTCTAGAAACAACAAAACGTTTTGTAGAATACAATGTATATCTACGACTAAGACAGATAAATTACAGTCTATTATTAAATTATAGCTTGAGACTGTAACGACAGTTTAATTTTAAATAACAAAATCGAAATTCAATCTAGATACGAAAAAGGGTTAGGAACAGGTGTGAAAGAGATCTACTGCAACTCATAGTTTAGTAAGACGAACTTTCAACTTTTCAAGTACAAAAAGTTTCTCATGTACTCAGACTGACAATCAAATCTATGACAATTGAGAAACACAAGTATTACTTGTCTACCGTTCCTATTAACATAAGTAGAAATAAATTTTAAAGCAACAGGATTGTCTGCTTTCTTAGTATATGACATCGCATTTTAGTATCACGACCAGGCTCATTGTATGTAATTATCAGCTAGCTGCGGTATTACAAAAATGTTTTTTTTTTAAAATTCTCAGATTGTTATAATGAATAAAATCTAGCATCTTATCCAAGAGCATTTCATTTGAGATTAAAAAGTAGAACGTTTCACTAAAGTACTACTTTTGTTTGATGCCCTTGCTGAAATTCGACATCACTTGAGGTGAATAATTTCCATTAACTTCCTAAAAGATCTCAATCAATTTGACCTACGTGCTGAAGCTTAGAAGCTCACATGCATTTCTCATAACAACTATATAAATCACAAGGACCACTGATAATTCAGTCTTGTACTTTTAATTCAAAATTTGTAGACAGGTTTAGCAGAAAAACAATGACATCTTATCGAGACAAGATATGCATACAGAAAACTACATAACTGACAGAAAACCTAGATTTCTTCATGCTAAACCCAATATTCACTGTGAAAATTAAGCGGCAACTCATCTCACTTCATATTTTTTTTCACCGATTCATGCGTATTTCTTCGCAGTAAGCACATCAAAATGTAATAAAGAGGGAATATAGCTCAATTTTTCCAATAAAATATGCTTCAGTTGACAATTAGTGTTAAAGACTTTGTGTCCAGTCTCTTGTTATGTATAGGGTGCAATAGTGAGCTATTCAAGACCTTAACAGTAAATTCAGAAACTAAATTTATTGTGCACTCAGATTAAAGCAAAAGGAGAAGAAGTGAATGAAGAAGGTTTCATTCTTAACGAAATCACTTTCTAATGTCGTGTAATGTTATTTAAGACCATTACAAACAGAAAGTAGTTCACATCTGTAACTTTGTCATGAAGATGTAAACATGAAGTTTTGAAATACAAATTTAGAAGGATGAAGAGCACAGAAAATCATTTAAGCAACAAATACTAAGCTTATTGTTTATACATGGATAAAATGCCAAATTTGTGCTTTGCTAACGCTTTTTGAAGGCTGTAAATTTTTAGTCATTAGTATGTAAGTGATATCCTACTACACCTTCTGTTAAATAATGATAATTTTTAAGAAATGAAAATTCTAGAATATTGAAGTAATTTACTAATTTTCACTGTCCTGATGAAACAGGTCATATCATCTTCTGAATCAAAGGAATAATGACCAAGAAACTCACCTCAGAGAGGACAATACAATCGAGACCATTCACCTGAGCTAAACATATACTCAACCATTTCAAAATCATAAGGGAGATAATATGTTCTTTACAAAATCCAACCGCTAAAAAAATTCAAAGCAAAAGAAAATATAAAACATAAAATTAAACTTATTCCTCCCTGAAATCGGGGAGATGATATGAAGCCGGTTGGTGAAAGCCTACCTTCGGGAAGCCAGTTGGCTGATGTATCTTCTCGCGATGAAAGCAAAAGTAAGAATGGGGAAATAGAATGTCCGCACCATGTATGAACCTAACAAGGCTGCCCAGATTGCAAAAGAGATGAGAAGATATAGCATAGAAGTGACTGGAATCTGTGAGGAATCACCAGATGGATTGGAAGTGGACTCTCCAAACTGTCAACTGGAGAGTCAATAATCTACTCCGATATTTGTCAACAAGACGACAACCATGAGCACACTGAGGGAGTGGTTATCATGATGTCCTCAACGGCATCAAAGGCTCTCATGACGTGGCAACCAGTCTCCTGCAGCATTGTGACACCAAGATTCAACTCAAAAGGAAGGAAAGTCACAATCATACAATACTATGCTACGCACCTGCAAAGAATGCAGATGAAGAGAAGAGGGAGGAATCCTACAGAAAACTGCAGTCAGTAATGGACAAGACCTCACACCAGTTGGTGACATCAAAATTCTAATGAGTGGGGGTGACATGAATGCCAGCCAAACTGAGAGCGGACAACACAGGAAGAGAACTAACCATGGGTCGAGAAGTGCTCGGTGAAACAAGGAATGAGAATGGAGAACTGTTTGCAGAATTCTGTGCATTCAACGATTTGGTGATTGGAGTCAGGTAGTGTGTTCAAGAACAAGGATATCCACAAAGCGACATGGATTTCATCAGACACACTACAAATCAGATCGATTTCGTGTCAGTGTGAAGAAAGTGGGGATGCAGCCTACTGGACGCAAGGTCAGATCAAGAAGAGAGAGAAGCAGATGTAGATTCAGACCTCTCACTTTCTAGTGGAAGGAACCTACCTTCAAAATGAAGCTGGAAGCCTTCGAGGAAGAAGCTGGTGATGATAGACCACAGTTGAAGTTCAACACCCAGAACAGAAACTGAACTGAACGACGAAACTACGAAGGAAGTCTTCACATCAGTGATCAGGACAAAGTGGGAGATATTGAACAACATCCGTGAAGAAGCCTGTGTAGATGAACACTGGAACTCTTTGAAAGCTATGCGGAAAGAAACCTGCGTAATCGTGTTAGGAAGAAAGCAGAAAGAAGATAAGGAATGGAATGGAGTGGAATGTATCTCGATGGACACATGGAAGCTGATAGAGGAGGGAGAGAGAGAGAGAGAGGAAGATGGTGAAGCAGAATATAAATTAGTGCAAGGATAAACAACGAGAAGAGGAATATAGAAGAACGTATAAAACACTACACTGGACATAGAAGTGAAGAAGAGTGCGCACGATGACGAAAGACACTTCTTCAACACACTGGCAAATGAGGCAGAACAGGCTGCTGGTAGGAGAGATGGAGACCTGACAACATTGTTTTGAACAACTAGGTTACTATCTGGGGTGGGGAGAGGAAGAGATCAACACAGGTGAAACCAATGAAAGATAGTGAAGGAAACCTAGTTGTCAAAGAGGAGAAACAAAGGAAACGAAGGGCTGACCACTTTAAAAGACTCTTCAATCGACCACCAGATATACCACATACAACTCGTCCAGAAATACCACCAGCAGCCCAGACACAGAACCATCAGTGAACACAAGCACTCCGACAAAGGCAGACGTGAAGTCCTGAACCCTATAAAGTTGCTAAAATGCAGGTAAGCAGCAGGACGAGATGGAATTCGGCCAGAAGTACTGAAACGAGACACAGGGATAACAGCGGACATGTTCACACCACTACTGCAGAAGGCTTTCAAGAAAGGGAGTTAAGGTATCTGGCGACTGATTGGAAGAAGGGCTACCTTGTCAAACCTCCAAATAAGGGCAACCTAAGTCTTTGCAAGAACTGGCGAGGAATCATGATGCTGTCCCTGTCCACCCCAACCAAGCAAAATATTAGGCTGCATCATCCTGGAGAGACTAAAATATGCTCTGTATTCAAAATTACGACTGGGACAGGCTGGTTGGCTGGCTGGCTGGCTTGCTTGCTTGCTTCGGGAAGTACAAATGATGTGCGAATCAAATTGCAACGCTATGCTACGCTACGCATCATCATAGAACAGAGCGCAGAATGGCAGTCAACTGGATCTTCACCTCGACTTCATCGATTTTGAAAAGGCCTTCGACAGCGTCGACCGACAGGCAATTTGACAGACAGCTGCTTCAACACTACGGTTTCAGTAGGAGAAACCTTTATCAACTGCATTCAACACCAATATATGAAGAGGCAACATGCCGAGTGATCCACAGTGGGAAGCTCAGTGACGCCTTTGAAGTGAAGATAGGAGACAGGAGTAAACCAAGGTTGCCGCCTACTATCACCCATGATATTCCTGATTGTGATGGACTGGATCATGCACGAAACCGTGAGGAGCGAGAAGAGGGTGATAGGCTGGCTGGACCGATGGAAAGACCCCAGAAGAAGATTTCGATGATGATTTATGTCTGATGTCTTGTCGCAGAAACTCGAAGATCTACAGGTGAAAACTAACAAGTTGGCAGAAGAGGCGAGGCAGCGAAGACGGGACTTCAAGTGAATGTAGAGAAGACGGATGTGATGAAGATACCCAACCAACAACAACAACAACAAAAACAAACACCCATCACCATTAACGAGAGAAACCTAATGGAAGTAGTCTCTTTCACCTGCCTACCTACCTACCTACCTACCTACCTACCTACCTACCTACCTACCTACCTACCTACCTACCTACCTACCTACCTACCTACCTACCTACCTACCTACCTACCTACCTACCTACCTACCTACCTACCTACCTACCTACCTACCTACCTACCTACCTACCTACCTACCTACCTACCTACCTACCTACCTACCTACCTACCTACCTACCTACCTACCTACCTACCTACCTACCTACCTACCTACCTACCTACCTACCTACCTACCTACCTACCTACCTACCTACCTACCTACCTACCTACCTACCTACCTACCTACCTACCTACCTACCTACCTACCTACCTACCTACCTACCTACCTACCTACCTACCTACCTACCTACCTACCTACCTACCTACCTACCTACCTACCTACCTACCTACCTACCTACCTACCTACCTACCTACCTACCTACCTACCTACCTACCTACCTACCTACCTACCTACCTACCTACCTACCTACCTACCTACCTACCTACCTACCTACCTACCTACCTACCTAGGCAGTATCGTTTCAACTACAGGTGGCGATGATGAGGACGTGAAAGCCAGGATCGGAAAGACATCAATACACGCCTTCCTGCATTAACCTGAAATCAGTGTGGAGATCCACTGCACTCAGCACAAAGATGAAGATCAGGATTTTCAACACTAAGTCAGTCAAGTCAGTGCTTCTGTATGGTGGTTGGAAGACTTAGCGCGTTACGAAAAGCATTTCCAACAAACAACAGACATTCATCAACAACTGCCGCCTACGCTCACTCGATACTGACACTGAAGATCAGATGAGTAGAATGAATGAGGAACAAGGAACTCTGGTCGGGAAATGAACCAACCAAGAACCCATCACCCAACAAATGTGCAGAAGGAAGTGGAGATAGATTTGATTGGGCATACACTGAGAAGGCCGACTGGGAACATCACGTACCAGAGACCAGGCTCTCGAGTGGAATTCAAAGGGGAAACTACGAGTTGGGTGTCTGAGGTGAGGGTGATATGGAGGAGATCGTGTGAGGAGGAAGAAATGAAAATTTTTGGGCAGTCGTGGCGCAAGTTTCAAAAGACAGCAGAGAAGAGAGTACAGTGGAGGCGTGCTACTGAAGCCCTATATTCTACTAGTAGCCTAAGGGACAATTAATAATAATCATGACTTAAAAGGGAATTTTCACTGTTTGTGAAACATTTCCTCTAAATGCACATTCAGTGAATACCCTGATAAATTAATCTTTTCATAATGCAGTTTTTGAGACGTTTGAAATTTATGTCACTTGTTTTCTCCGATTATTAAAAGGGGTATACTTCTAAATTTTAGAACGTTAGCCTATTCAACTTAATTTGAAGATATGGAAAGCAACGAGTCATAACAGCTATAAATCAATGCCAAAAGTTTGCAACTAGTTTCTTTCTAGAAAGCTAGATGATAAATTTAGTGGAAATGCACCAAATATACCGTTATTTATCTTCGTTTAAAAAAGTGACGGGGCAGTTAGTGTGGCAGAAGAAAGCCAGGAAAGTCCTTTCTCTAGGTCTTGAGATTTATGCATTAAGAAAGCACAGATATGTGGCAAGTAATATAAACTAATATCGGAAATATTTTCTGAAGTTAGTAACTAAGCAGATTTTACCTACAATATCTATTATCTGTTATATCTGATTTGATTCCGATAAAAGGTTTTGAAGTGGATGCTTGCATAGATGACACAATGTTTGCATCAGAACATTTCATTCTGTTTGCGAAAGTTTTATAAAGTTAGTGGTATTCAGTAGTGTCACTTTGATAAGTGAATCTTATTAAATAAATAATTCAAATCAGTTACTATCCTGTTGCTAAGGCCAAGGTAGATGGAGTGGGGTTTAAATTTGAGACGTATTGCTTGAAAGCCAAATATCTTTGCCAATGAACAACTTTTGTTCCTTGGGTTTGGTAATTAATTTTGTTTTGAAAAATATTAATGCGAAGTAAGTCTCTTCAGGTTGTAACATTTACACTGTCTGGAGGTTTGCTAAAGAACTTCTGAAGCTGTTGTGGTATTTTGTTCCCATAAAACTTACTGTTAACTCAACTCTGAATATAACCTAATATGCGTTAATGTAATTTCTGAATATGAAATATTTAAAACAAGCAACGAATGTGAAAAAAAGTGGGATTTAGTGAATTCATAAATTTCAGTAGTACTCGTCAGCTGGATACTCTACATACTTGATTTTATATACAGTGAAACAATGGGAAAGAACATTCATACACATAACGTAGACTAAGACAGATTTAGGTGTAGCAACATAGAGGTGAACAGTTTTTACAGGTCAAGTTGAATACAAAGGATAGAAATGGATATTCAAAATTGAATGGGTTGGGAATAGATTAATTGGGTTTGGATAATAGAGGATTTCATGTAGAAAAATAATGATAATAACAATAATAATGGTGATACAGCGGTGAGAACTGAATCAACTGAACGTCGATCACATCATTCAAAACAAGATAGCTAATAGTAGTTATGTAGACATGATAAGAAAACCAGGTGTATATTGACATAATTGATAATGATAGCAATGGTAACACGAATAAAGTTAATTGGGCGAAACAAATCAGGGAAGAAAAACAAAATGGGTGATAATTAAGAGTGAAGAGCAAGTAAGAAAGATTGGATCTGATTAGACTATGTTGTACTTCCTACCATAGTAAATTCAAGCTGACTACCACTTCCTTCTGAATACAGAGGCTTAGTTTGACAACTCGAATCGCGCAGGCTTCTGCATATCCAGGCAACTTCTTATTTTGTTGTCTACTGATAACCGTTAAGGACTTACAGGTGTCAATATTATGTCCATAATCCACTAGGTGTTTCACTATCGAACTCCTCGTGGTATCCTTCTCAGCATGCTTCAACTATATGGGTGGGTGGTCAACCATTCAGGTAGACAGATGCCTCTCCGTACCACCAAAATATTTGCTTCCACAGGTATATTTGAATTGATATATGTACTTAGATGTGTACTTAGATGTCTTTCCCTGATTGTTGTAGTGCCTTTTTGGTGGTGCTGAGGAGAACGAGTTTAACAGCGCAATAAGTCCTTCTGACAGAATTCTCCAGTCTTCGTCTAACTACTTCTAGCATGTCGTTACCTTTGGATGGCAAGACGATAGCCTGGTTTCTTCTGCAGTGTTGGAGATGTTGTTTTGATTCCTACCCATTTTGCGTGCTTGTTCATTCTTCACTAGCACGTTTTTCAAAGTCACCATTTCGTAGTGAAGTGTGCTGTCGAAACAAATTTTCCTGCCTATGTTAAACAGCGTTCTGACTACATTCACTTTGTAGTGGAGCGCGACATAGTTCCTAAAATGAAGGTACTGTCCTGTCCATGAAGGTTTCCTATAGATGAACCTTCGGTAGGTCCATCGATTCTTTTTACTAATGAGATATATAAGAAACTAATCATATTATTTTCCTCTTGCTTAGTCATAAAGGTCAGGCTTGGGTGACATGAATTAAAGCTCTTTAGTAGTGCTTTCGCCTCCTCTTTCCTATTACATGCAATGAATATGTCGTCCATGTAACTCTGGTACAGTTCCGTCTGATCTATGAACCGCTTCAAGCTACTATTTTCCAGACTTGATAAAAATAAGTCAGCGAAACAAGTCGGAAGACAGGTGTTTCAGTTTCTATGAAATACTTATTTTCGAAAAGCAGCCTCACTTTAATAACATAAATAAATCTTTTCTGAGAGCTGTCACTAGTTAAAATTGTTTTGCTTTAGGTTGGTGTTTAAAAGATCACTCTTTTTACGGTCAGGTAAGGGCACATAACTAATGCGGGAATTATTTTTCAGTGTACTGCAATACATGTTTTCGTAAATTACTGATACATTTATCCTTCATTGCTACTCCTTATGGATCAGCGATTGTTGTTGCATTTATGCCTGTAAACAGCTACAAATAACTGACTCAATTTCGCAACCCGTTTGACATACATATTCAGACCATATTTTTTACAACTGTCCTATAAGAGTCTAAGCATCAGATCAAAAGAAACGTTTATACTGACTAGATATCCTGGATTTCATAAGCGATTAAGTACTGGTTTTGATCACGCAGTTCACACATGTGAGTGCATGAATCAGTATCGAAGATGAGTATCAGATAGGATGCCACACCTACTCTACCATGCTTTCTCAAGTATGGTCTCACAAAAGGATGACTGGTACGTTGTGATAACATGAAGTCTAGTCGAAGATGTGCTACATACTGATAGGCGTATATTGAATACCAGAACCCAGGGTTTATTGTTTGAAGCTATTACTTTAACCTCTGCATGCTTGCGGAAATTAACTGACTATGTGATGAATTATTCCAGCGTTATTCAACCAGTTTACCTAGCAGACTTAAATTGGTGGAACCCCACTGTTTGTGTAAAATTTGTTCAGTATTTTACGTACCCATGGAAACTGATTGACCTATTCTATGTATTTTATACCAACAATTATTGTTCTATTCAATAACCGATTTATGTTGCAAGTGTTAAAAATATCCTACTTTAATATTACGCCGTAGCCACCTTAACTCATAAATTCTTCATAGTTAAATCCTGTTACGTGTTTCGTTTATCTGGATACTTTATTCTCTTTTACACAGGGCACGAATGTAAGACGTTTCGATGTGGCTCTTGTGCCTTTCCTAGCTTCTGTGGCACGTCTTCTTGTTCGAATGGCTGACTCACTGACATTTACATCAGTTCCAGGTGGGACACTCTCTAGCGGCATAAATAAATTAAGGCTTCACTCAAACAGAAACAATTATGAAGAACAGCTGATAGAAATTGACAATGATCCTGAAGAAGAATCCGGTCGAAACACAGTAGCCGATTCACCACGTTTACATCTCCAAGTGCGTTATGCCGGCGCTTAAAATCTACTATTCAGGCAACTTTGGAAACTGGAGTTCCTCGTAATGTCCTTATCGCTGCATGCTTGGCTTCAGCTATAGGTGCAGAGTCATGGTCATCTCATTTGGGAGTGATAAATCCAGAAAGCGCAGAAGAAGAGGACGAAGAAGATGTTGATAACACCACTACAGAAATGATTAGTGAAAATTTTGTTACAGATATTTTTCGTGAATGCAAGGATCCTGTTCTACAATTAGCCTTACAGCAATGTCATATGGAAGCTTTGAATTTTATGAAATGTTATCCAATAAGTACTGAATCAATAAATCGTAGTCCTAGACATGAAATTAATCAGCCGAATTCACCTCTTCTGACACCTATTTGTGATAGTGATGAGGAAAACCTAGTTGATACATTTTTCCAGACTGATAACCGTCAATTAGCTCAAACCGACTTACTACCAAGCTGCTCAGTAGTAGGATCGAATAACTCTTTTATCATACAAGCTCCGTTAATCAATCAAGCAACTGAAAATCCTCTTAATCAACCGTTTGCTATTGAAAATCAACTTATGCCTAAACCAAATAATTCATGTTACAATATACCTCAGTCAGATACGCACACCTTACTCCCGCCTACACTTGATGATATAGATTTGGAATGGCGTGAATGTCTTGTCTGCTGCGAACGAAATAGATCTACAATTATACTTCCATGTGGTCATATCATAACCTGCGATACATGCACGCCTTTAATTAAAAAGTGTCTGCTGTGTCGACAAAGGATTACTGGATATCATAAAGTAAGCTGCCTAATAACCCCTCTTGAAAATAATGAACTATTTATGATGTTATATTAGATACTAAATTATTGATATTTATGCTAAGGGAGTAAAAACTTGTAATAGTTGAGAAAAATTACACTAAATCACAAGTTTAACTAAGTGAAGAAACAGTAAATTCGTTTCTGGAGAAAATATTCTATATTTAAATATTGGCATCAGGGTTAATATATACTCAGCTGAAATACAGAAATAGAAATATTATTTATTGCAGGATTGTGTACCATTGTGATTTATGATATAATTTATCTTGTTGTGCTTAATATTTCGATTTCTAAGATTATGACTATCTTCACCCATCAATAATAAGTTAAATCTAAACTATTTTACTTCATCTTTTTTAATTAGAAAGATGGTGCTTTCGTACGCATACAGAAACCAACTTGTTTCTCAGACGAACCTTTCATCAATTTCAGCTTTAAAAACAACTTTATTAGGTGCCGTAGAGTACTTCAGTGTCATGCATGGTAATAAATCTATAACAAATTACCTGCCATATTTTGGATGTTTATGAAATTACGATAATCACCAACTCAATTTATTAAACTTTAAATTACTAAACGGTATAATGCTCAGTGTTTTCAGTTCTCTTAAGTTGAATTTTGATCTTGATATCTAAGAAATCTTAATGATCAATATTTCCTTTATATGTCTACTAGCCACATTTCTTAAACAGCCATCTGAAATATGTTTAAAGAAGCTAGTGATTATCAGTTGACACATTCTGCTTTTCATAAACAAAAAGCCATTCCCTTTCAAATTATTCTGACCGTGAATCATGTTTCAGTATCATATAAGGCCTTCGGATTATTCACACTAATTCGACAGAGTTGCACTAATTGTTTTAAGACAAATATATACTGAAGACACCTCGCCTAGGTAACTAGTTAACTAGTTACTAGCCGGTCCTAAGTCCGTATAAAGACGGAAGCTTGGACATTCGGCTAGCAACCCTACACTGTAAAACAAACCTAACCGCTAAAAAAACTTGAAAGCACAAAGAAAATATAAAACATAAAATTAAACTTATTCCTCCCTGAAATCGGGGAGATGATATGAAGCCGGTTGGTGAAAGCCTACCTTCGGGAAGCCAGTTGGCTGATGTGCCTTCTCACGATGAAAGCAAAAGTAAGAATGGGGATATGGAGTGTCCGCACCATGTATGAACCTAACAAGGCTGCCCAGATTGCAAAAGAGATGAGAAGATATAGCATAGAAGTGACTGGAATCTGTGAGGAATCACCAGATGGATTGGAAGTGGACTCTCCAAACTGTCAACTGGAGAGTCAATAATCTACTCCGATATTTGTCAACAAGACGACAACCATGAGCACACTGAGGGAGTGGTTATCATGATGTCCTCAACGGCATCAAAGGCTCTCATGACGTGGCAACCAGTCTCCTGCAGCATTGTGACACCAAGATTCAACTCAAAAGGAAGGAAAGTCACAATCATACAATACTATGCTACGCACCTGCAAAGAATGCAGATGAAGAGAAGAGGGAGGAATCCTACAGAAAACTGCAGTCAGTAATGGACAAGACCTCACACCAGTTGGTGACATCAAAATTCTAATGAGTGGGGGTGACATGAATGCCAGCCAAACTGAGAGCGGACAACACAGGAAGAGAACTAACCATGGGTCGAGAAGTGCTCGGTGAAACAAGGAATGAGAATGGAGAACTGTTTGCAGAATTCTGTGCATTCAACGATTTGGTGATTGGAGTCAGGTAGTGTGTTCAAGAACAAGGATATCCACAAAGCGACATGGATTTCATCAGACACACTACAAATCAGATCGATTTCGTGTCAGTGTGAAGAAAGTGGGGATGCAGCCTACTGGACGCAAGGTCAGATCAAGAAGAGAGAGAAGCAGATGTAGATTCAGACCTCTCACTTTCTAGTGGAAGGAACCTACCTTCAAAATGAAGCTGGAAGCCTTCGAGGAAGAAGCTGGTGATGATAGACCACAGTTGAAGTTCAACACCCAGAACAGAAACTGAACTGAACGACGAAACTACGAAGGAAGTCTTCACATCAGTGATCAGGACAAAGTGGGAGATATTGAACAACATCCGTGAAGAAGCCTGTGTAGATGAACACTGGAACTCTTTGAAAGCTATGCGGAAAGAAACCTGCGTAATCGTGTTAGGAAGAAAGCAGAAAGAAGATAAGGAATGGAATGGAGTGGAATGTATCTCGATGGACACATGGAAGCTGATAGAGGAGGGAGAGAGAGAGAGAGAGGAAGATGGTGAAGCAGAATATAAATTAGTGCAAGATAAACAACGAGAAGAGGAATATAGAAGAACGTATAAAACACTACACTGGACATAGAAGTGAAGAAGAGTGCGCACGATGACGAAAGACACTTCTTCAACACACTGGCAAATGAGCAGAACAGGCTGCTGGTAGGAGAGATGGAGACCTGACAACATTGTTTTGAACAACTAGGTTACTATCTGGGGTGGGGAGAGGAAGAGATCAACACAGGTGAAACCAATGAAAGATAGTGAAGGAAACCTAGTTGTCAAAGAGGAGAAACAAAGGAGACGAAGGGCTGACCACTTTAAAAGACTCTTCAATCGACCACCAGATATACCACATACAACTCGTCCAGAAATACCACCAGCAGCCCAGACACAGAACCATCAGTGAACACAAGCACTCCGACAAAGGCAGACGTGAAGTCCTGAACCCTATAAAGTTGCTAAAATGCAGGTAAGCAGCAGGACGAGATGGAATTCGGCCAGAAGTACTGAAACGAGACACAGGGATAACAGCGGACATGTTCACACCACTACTGCAGAAGGCTTTCAAGAAAGGGAGTTAAGGTATCTGGCGACTGATTGGAAGAAGGGCTACCTTGTCAAACCTCCAAATAAGGGCAACCTAAGTCTTTGCAAGAACTGGCGAGGAATCATGATGCTGTCCCTGTCCACCCCAACCAAGCAAAATATTAGGCTGCATCATCCTGGAGAGACTAAAATATGCTCTGTATTCAAAATTACGACTGGGACAGGCTGGTTGGCTGGCTGGCTGGCTTGCTTGCTTGCTTCGGGAAGTACAAATGATGTGCGAATCAAATTGCAACGCTATGCTACGCTACGCATCATCATAGAACAGAGCGCAGAATGGCAGTCAACTGGATCTTCACCTCGACTTCATCGATTTTGAAAAGGCCTTCGACAGCGTCGACCGACAGGCAATTTGACAGACAGCTGCTTCAACACTACGGTTTCAGTAGGAGAAACCTTTATCAACTGCATTCAACAGCAATATATGAAGAGGCAACATGCCGAGTGATCCACAGTGGGAAGCTCAGTGACGCCTTTGAAGTGAAGATAGGAGACAGGAGTAAACCAAGGTTGCCGCCTACTATCACCCATGATATTCCTGATTGTGATGGACTGGATCATGCACGAAACCGTGAGGAGCGAGAAGAGGGTGATAGGCTGGCTGGACCGATGGAAAGACCCCAGAAGAAGATTTCGATGATGATTTATGTCTGATGTCTTGTCGCAGAAACTCGAAGATCTACAGGTGAAAACTAACAAGTTGGCAGAAGAGGCGAGGCAGCGAAGACGGGACTTCAAGTGAATGTAGAGAAGACGGATGTGATGAAGATACCCAACCAACAACAACAACAACAACAAAAACAAACACCCATCACCATTAACGAGAGAAACCTAATGGAAGTAGTCTCTTTCACCTACCTACCTAGGCAGTATCATTTCAACTACAGGTGGCGATGATGAGGACGTGAAAGCCAGGATCGGAAAGACATCAATACACGCCTTCCTGCATTAACCTGAAATCAGTGTGGAGATCCACTGCACTCAGCACAAAGATGAAGATCAGGATTTTCAACACTAAGTCAGTCAAGTCAGTGCTTCTGTATGGTGGTTGGAAGACTTAGCGCGTTACGAAAAGCATTTCCAACAAACTACAGACATTCATCAACAACTGCCGCCTACGCTCACTCGATACTGACACTGAAGATCAGATGAGTAGAATGAATGAGGAACAAGGAACTCTGGTCGGACAATGAACCAACCAAGAACCCATCACCCAACAAATGTGCAGAAGGAAGTGGAGATAGATTTGATTGGGCATACACTGAGAAGGCCGACTGGGAACATCACGTACCAGAGACCAGGCTCTCGAGTGGAATTCAAAGGGGAAACTACGAGTTGGGTGTCTGAGGTGAGGGTGATATGGAGGAGATCGTGTGAGGAGGAAGAAATGAAAATTTTTGGGCAGTCGTGGCGCAAGTTTCAAAAGACAGCAGAGAAGAGAGTACAGTGGAGGCGTACTACTGAAGCCCTATATTCTATTCGTCACCTAAGAGACGATTGATTGTAATGTATATGTAACACAATCTCCGCTTTCCCGGTTTGATGTAACCAGATGTATAAATAAGAAAAAATAACAGGGTCAACTATTTTATATGAAATATCCGAAATTATGTCATCCTCTATATTTTATCCTCTGACTGCCTTTAGTGTGGATACTACTGTTTCATCTAATTGTGTATAGCATGGACGTTTTTTATGTTTGATTTTGCAAGTTAACAGAAGACGATCGAATAATCGAATGACAGAAATGTTACTGCAGTGTCGATATAATTATCAATTGGGGTCATTTACCATAGGATTTATGTTTATGTACGTAACGGTTGAAATCATAATACAACCGTTATTATTTTGGTGTTGTGTACCCTAAAGTGGATGGTTTAATCATGAAGCCCCCATTGTCATTCTAGACAACATCATCAGTACAAACTTCAGAAAAGAAGATACTAATTGGAAAAATTGATAAGATTCGGCATTACTTTGCTAAATCAACTCACCACAGAATATCTGAATAATTTACAACTATTTCACTGAATGTTATTCAGCCATTTCATAAGATAGATAGCAGCATGACTTGTTTTATTACCAAAAGGTTTGGTTACCCTAATGAGGTTTTTTAGATTTTATTCAATTTTAAAATTATATTCCACGACTTATGAAGAAATGGCTCGATAGTAGGCGTTTCCTTAGTTGGTGTTCTATTTTTCAGTGATTATAAATGTTATCTTATTTCGGGACTGTTTTCTTGTCTTATCTTTCACTTAGTTTACACTTTGTTGTGAATGCAACATATCCAGTGGGGTAGTTCTCGCTAGACCTTGTAATCATATGCTATGGTGCAAAACCGTGTTTGAAAACAAAAGTACAACATTTGGAAATTATTCAGCAGATAACAACTAATATCAGTTTCGATGAAGACGATGATGTAGGTCACAGAAATCAGATCGCTACAAATAATAAAGCTCCTGTTACTGGTACTAATCTATTAAGTATGCCTTCATCGTCATCGTCAGTATCAGCGGTAACACCAGGTACTTCCGGTGCAAGCTCAAAAAGAAGCACAGATATCGATGAATTAGATCCATTATTTTCATCCGAAACAGTGACATCGTCGTTTATTACTGGAGCAAATGATATAAATTTATGGCGTAATGTACCACTTGGTCGTCTACTATCAATGATAACTAAACTCCACAGTTTGCTGGACGATTTGTTGGCAGGTGGTATTTGTTTAGATGGATGTCCATCGTGTGCAAATACAGTCCAGTCATTGTGGCCTGTAATAGTCGCATGCTCTGGGGTCAATAATCAATCAACTACGATTGCTCTAGGACAGGACAGATGCAATTCAAATTCGTTCACGTTAGACTCTTCTAATGCTATTGAGACTGATTTGATCCCAAGCACCTCAAATATTACAAATATACTTCCAACAAATAATTCTGTCCTGAATAGTGTTCAGACAGACATGGAGTTAGTGCAGAATCAACTAGTTTCACGTAAGTCTCTGACTGTTTAATAGTGCAGTAAATTGCCTCGTATGTATGCTAATTTTCTGGAAGTAGTTTGTCAAGGATAAAATCTTTAGCACTAAAAATCAGTGACTTCATATGTGGACCAAATAAAGGCCATAAAAATCACGGATTCTTAAGCTTCGGGGTAATGCAACACCTTTGACACAGTGCTGTAAATCTGACTACAGATACGCTAACTTGCAGATATCACAATATGAAAAAGTATGAGTTGAAGGAACTGGTATTCAAGATTCGATAAGCCTATCTTTTATCCCTTAGATAGTCAAACCATGCACACGTTAAGTGAATCTGAAAATAAAGGATAGGTACGGATGGAATATGAATACAATTTCACACAGCTATACCTATCATTATTGTCAAGGCAGACAGTCAGCGTAAGCCTGCTGTGTGGTATCTCTGCACACTCCGATGGTGTTTCTTGTGTACTTGTCACCTCAGGTCTCCTATTAATTACTATTTGGAAATCCTGTTTTCTTCAAACTTGGTGACTATCTGTACGATGTATTACACTCAGTTTATCTTCTTAATGTCTCAATTAGAACAGAATTGTCAGTATGAAACAAGGGAATCATCACAAGTGATATAGGATAAATTTGGAAACACATTTGAAACGTCCGGGTTTAGTAAAGTAACCTGTATTTCTTCAGTTCCATCTTTTTACGGTAAACCAGTAAAAATTAACAGCCGTAGCGACATACAGACGTTGGAACGTGAATAAACATCAATGGGATGCCTGAAGGATCAACCATTAGACAAAGGCAAGTCTATAATACGTAGGGGAAAGCAGTATTTTAACTGTTGTTAATAATCCTTGTCCTAGAAACTACTGTTGATAATTAACGGATTCAGAATATCATCCATTCTATCGATAGAGTGTATGTGCTGTGGACATATGGAACCCTTAGAACTTCGTAGAACCCCGAAAAATACTCACTTTGTGTGCCAATATCGTTAAACCCTTACAACCAAAGTCAGAAAAAAAGTTGTCCACTGACGTCTAGGGATACTGCAAAGCCCACCTCTTTTGAAAGTTTCCACTCATCATAAAAAGAGTTTATTAAGATATATTAATTACATTAGACAAAACTATGAAATAACGTCCTACTGCACTACAAAAAGATAAGTATCAACGGTTAGTTGCAAACCATTAAAAACAATTATAGTTAGCTTCTTTTGTGTACACGCACCTCTGACACAAGTCATACTAATATTGCCGATAGAACAGTAACTTAGGCATTAAAGTATCCGTAATTTAGGAGTATTATTTGAGTTTTTATTTCATTTTTAGTAACAAAGAGTTCAGCGGACGTTTCAGTAGTTATTTTTCTAACTACTATATCTGCTCTGAATGTGTTGAAAACAAACGTTTCACCTAGTATTCTCTAATAAGGCATTAAATCTTTTAGTTCAACCCCATTTTGCAGCTTTATTTCAAATGCACACACGCAATTATGAACTGAAAGTATTCCCGTGAGACATCATCGATCAGACTTAAAGCAACACAGATGCTAGAATGGACATATGTTGGGACAACAAGACGTTCGACAAACAAATTTGATCTCTGTGGCATGCTTCACCGTCTCTTCAAATTTATATGTACACGTATGTGTTAGTTTAGTGTGCAAAACTATTCTGAACGGGGTGAACACCTGACTAGTCTAACCTTAAAGTATAAATACAAACTAAAAATACAACAGAAGGTCAGTATGATTTCTTTCCACAATGATTCACCAAAGGTTAGCACTTTCACAATATCCTAGCATATACCTTACAGGTGGTGAATACATGAACAAGGATTCTCAGTGGCAAACTAAAATTAATTTGGAACAGGTTTCCTCTCTGCATGCAAATTATCCTAATATCTATCACTGCGCTTCGTTTGCATACCTCTCGGTAAGAAGCTACTCCTAAATCGTAATAGTACAAGTTTCTGTTTAAATTTGAAAAGTACACTGTCCTACATTCATCTTCTTCACCATAATGAAGCAAATAAGAATACAGGTGAAAATATATTATTGAGTGGCAAAGTCCCATTTAATTTGTAGACATATTGTGAGTCTCTACAACCTGAAATCCGAAAAAGTTGGAAAGAATAAAACAGCATGTGTGAAGAAGACCATGAAACTAAATCATAGGTAATAAGTCAATGAACAAAACTTTTAACCTATTATATTAAATATATCGAAGACTGTACCTAATGGATTAAGTTATTTAGCTTCGCATTTACAAGTAGTGACAATTACATTGAACCAATTCACATCAAAGTCAGAATCGGAAAAGTAAGACAGGCGTTCATTAGCCTGAAACCAGTGTGGAGATCCTCTTCACTCAGCATGTGTAACAAGATCCGGATTTTCAACACCAACGTCAAGTCAGTGCTTCTGTATGGTTCAGAGGACTTGGCGCGTTACGGAAGGGATTTCCAATAAACTACAGATATTCGTCAACAACTGCTTACGCTCGCTACTGAAGATCAGATGGCCAGAGAGAATAAGCAACAAGGAACTCTGGGAACGAACCTATCGCTGAACAAATGTGCAGAAGGAAGTGGAGATGGATTGGGCATACACTGAGAAGGCCGATTGGGGACATCACGCGTCAGGCCAGGTACTCGAGTGGAACCCCCATGGGAAGCGACGAGTTGGGCGTCTGAGGTGAGGGTGACATGGAGGAGATCGTGCGAGGAGAAAATGAGAGCTTCTGGGCTGTCATGGAGCCAGTTCAAAAGATTTCAGAGGAACAGAGTGTACTGGAGACGTTCTACTGAAGCCCTGTGTTCCACTGGGAACCCAAGGGACTAATAATAATAATAATAATAATAATAATAACAATTCACATCAAAACTCGGATATAGACTAGGGAAGAGCCTCTTTTCATTGATGTGAGACAAACTACCTACAAAAGTTAGATTTTCAAACTCCAAAATCTTACTATAATGCTGTATTTCACTACTTTCTTTCACTTCATTTTCAACGAGCAATGGATAACCAAGTTACCATGAAATATTCCATTTAAGATTGACTTTCACTATTCTGTTACATGCGTAATAAAACAATAAAGTTACCAGATGAAATCAGTCATCAAGCACTATCAGCAACATTTCATATCTGTAAAATAACTGGGGAATCAGACTGTGGTAATCTGTCAGGATATTTGCCTTAGTTGATGAGACATTTACCTAGTGAACCTGCGTCTATCTATTATCAGTAAATTATTATTCATTCAAGTAGTGTTGATTAAATAATTAATTTACATAAGTGAGGACCAATCAGAGTAATGGCATATTTTATTCTAAAACTGCTGGTGAAGAAACTTGCTGTTCGCATAGTGTGTCTGAATAAAAATAGTTGTTTATAAAGCGGCAAGGAATTCTCCTTTTCCTATAACATTTATTACGAGTTTGAAAAAAATACTCAAATCTTTTAGGCAAAATGTAGAGTTTAGTGATTAAAAACTGTAGCTTTTACCCTTGGCTCTTCAAAAGTTGGAAGTTAATTCACATCTCAGTGACCAAATCCTATGGGGATAAAGGAAAACGTCATACTTTTCAAAAAAAAAGCAACAAATTTTATGAGAAAACATTTGACTTATTAGTACTATGTTCAAAACAAATGATGGGTAGTAGTTAGTATAGCAGTAAAAAGTTTTATATGATCTAAACTGTGATTAACATTTCCATAATTGGGTTATAAGACCTATTCTTGTACATTGAGATCTATCTTTCATGAAAACAGTGAGCGCTAGGAGTTAGCCTAATAACTTCACTTGCATGAAAACTACACATCATTTTGAACAGTACGATTAAATATCAACCTACTACTTAAAGTCTCACATATGTTAATCAACACTACCGAACCTATAGTCTTGAAGCTGCTATCAACCAGAAAAGGAATGGTAAAGTGCTCGTTGTAGGACGAAAACACAGTTTGCCATACAGTAGAAGTAGTAGCTACTTAAACGACATGTGTGTTCATTTCTACCCTCTTTTTATTGCCTTTCTAAACAGTCCAAATATTCATACCGAAAACTAAATTGATATGAGTTCATACCCAAAAAAATACTGAACAAAAATTGCAAATTGTGGAAATAAGGGTTTGCCGCTCAAAACAGATGGAAATGAAGCAACAATACTCACTCATTTTTACCTTATAAGTAAATCATTTAAATCTAAACACTCATTCGCTTGATTCTGTTTCCTCCTCGTAATGCCCATTCGTAATACTTGTTCTATTGATTTATTCTGGATATGCAACACTGACTGATGCAGTATTGTAACAATTACAACGTCATTCTTTTTGATAGACGCCGATTACCATGTGTAGATATGCATTTAAAAATCCTGACGTTGCTATGCCATATATATATATATATATATATATATATATATATACATATATATATATATATATATATATATATATATATATGAGGATAATGTTGAGGTCTGTTTATTTGGTTTACTTATTTTTTGTACATTTCTAAACAGATAAACCACCACGCAATCTATCTCCAATGGACGATCAGACTTTCAGTGGATTGATGAACGCATCTAACAGGCAGGTACGCTTCAAAAAATAAATAGTCCATCTGAAGATATCTCAAAATACTTTTTACGCCTGCGGTTTATGCATTTTACTCAGTAATACCACCGTTTGAAAATGACTACTTACAAGTAGTAAGAGTATTGTAAGCACACTTTTGTCAAGTTTTTAGTTCTGTTACTGTCTGCACTTTGTATTTACAAATACCTGGTGTTTTGTTCTTACATATTATAGACTATGATAACACCAAACAACCGGCTTCATCAAGGTGGCGGCAGAGCTGATGTACGTGGACGATCAAGAGGTCCGCGAACGCAACTATGTGAACGCGAACTAAACAGGCTTAAACATGAGCTTCAAATGATGCGAGAACAGGTAAGTCACTGACGGCAGCAAAAGGCATAACTACGTCAATATAAAAAATAAACCAATATCCTGAGGTTATTTTACGGAAAACAGTGGTGTATGGAATGCTTCATAGTTTCGAAACACTTTTATATAATTTGTATATTATTTCATTATCAGTACACACTTCTCAACAAAAATGTTAATGTAGACCAAAATAAGTACTGCCACTTAGGTTATAATAATTATCATACAACTGGAGTTCAAACTGGAAGTGAAACCGCCGGAGAGATGCATATAGGAAGGTAGAAACTGAAATACCAGTACTCAGCTTCAAATTGCATCGCTTCAAAGGAAACATAAGCTCTGAATTCAACTCAGCGTGTGGTTACTAAAACGAGAACATGAGTTAGTTAAAACGGTGGAAGCACAATATTTCAAAATATGGTGAATATGAAGCGTTAATATTCATGATATCGTAATCGATTACTAGCCAAGTTATATAGGTTTTCACACCAATTGTTCTTGGCATCGCAAGGGGACATCTCAAATAGCTTGCATGTAAAACGAAAACAAATATTTGGTGGATTCATGAACAGATATTATGATTTGACGTCGTTTCGTAGAGCTAGGCGATGATTCAGCAAGAATAAATATGTCACAGATACTTCTGCTGGTAAAATTTAATAAGCTCATAAACTGGTTGATATTCACCGGGTAGAACTTTCAATATGATTGTTGGAACTTTTGATGTCTTTGGCTATTTGTGAAAGATATCAGCTAGTTAAGCAGATGTAGAATAATGGAGATTCAAGCGGAATTGTCCTAAGCAAGAAATCAACTAAAATCTTGTTATCATAACGAATTAACAAATTGTAAATTTCACAGTATGCTTGTATCGCATGACTCCGAAAATGATGAATAATATTTGGATGTTACTTCACAGATTTCAGGCAAAAAAATAAATAAATAATATTGCAAATAAACTAGTTCAAAAAGCATTTCTAACATTAGGAGGAGTAGAAATTGAAAGAAAATTTTAAACGAAGCCATACACAATGCGAAACTATTATTATTATTTGTCCCCTGAGTTCCTAGTAGAACATAGGGCTTCAGTAGCACGCCTCCACTGTACTCTCTTCTCTGCTGTCTTTTGAAACTTGCGCCACGACTGCCCAAAAATTTTCATTTCTTCCTCCTCACACGATCTCCTCCATGTCACCCTCACCTCAGACACCCAACTCGTAGTTTCCCCTTTGAATTCCACTCGAGAGCCTGGTCTCTGGTACGTGATGTTCCCAGTCGGCCTTCTCAGTGTATGCCCAATCAAATCTATCTCCACTTCCTTCTGCACATTTGTTGGGTGATGGGTTCTTGGTTGGTTCATTGTCCGACCAGAGTTCCTTGTTCCTCATTCATTCTACTCATCTGATCTTCAGTGTCAGTATCGAGTGAGCGTAGGCGGCAGTTGTTGATGAATGTCTATTGTTTGTTGGAAATGCTTTCGTAACGCGCTAAGTCTTCCAACCACCATACAGAAGCACTGACTTGACTGACTTAGTGTTGAAAATCCTGATCTTCATCTTTGTGCTGAGTGCAGTGGATCTCCACACTGATTTCAGGTTAATGCAGGAAGGCGTGTATTGATGTCTTTCCGATCCTGGCTTTCACGTCCTCATCATCGCCACCTGTAGTTGAAATGATACTGCCTAGGTAGGTAGGTGAAAGAGACTACTTCCATTAGGTTTCTCTCGTTAATGGTGATGGGTGTTTGTTTTTGTTGTTGTTGTTGTTGGTTGGGTATCTTCATCACATCCGTCTTCTCTACATTCACTTGAAGTCCCGTCTTCGCTGCCTCGCCTCTTCTGCCAACTTGTTAGTTTTCACCTGTAGATCTTCGAGTTTCTGCGACAAGACATCAGACATAAATCATCATCGAAATCTTCTTCTGGGGTCTTTCCATCGGTCCAGCCAGCCTATCACCCTCTTCTCGCTCCTCACGGTTTCGTGCATGATCCAGTCCATCACAATCAGGAATATCATGGGTGATAGTAGGCGGCAACCTTGGTTTACTCCTGTCTCCGCTTCAAAGCACAAAGAACCTATAAATAATAAAAACAATGGAAAGCATTACATTGATAAATTGGACGTCAGTTTTGCATACTATACATTCTAGTTGGTTTCTGTCATTCACGAAGAAATTGGAAGAAACCTCTGACTTCGAACAACAGACTTCACATTAGAACGCGAAATTATTTATTGCTTTGATTGGTGCCTGCTTTTGTTGATGTTTGTACGGAAACATTAACTTTTTGAAGCGGAAGTTAAATCATCTGAATATGTGTAAATGTTCCCCATACTTTTAAACAGACACTAATCAGACTCAAATATTTAAATCAAAATAAAGCATACTGAGTGAAGCAAGATAACAGCGTGCTCGAATAAAGTAAGAACATTACGAATATCTGTTTACTAATTTATCTGGGATTTGAACCAAAAATGAACATAATGTAGATTCTTAGAATTGACAAGATTGACATGCTGTTTTAGGCAGTATTTTCGGTAGCAGAAACTCAGTACCGAATCCATAAACGTATTATACATCAAGAATGTCTCAGAAACTGTCAACAGATTGTTACTTACATTCAGTATCAGCGTGACACACAAACCAACCAAAACCCTACAGAACATATTGTACAAAATAAAGAATCCACTATCCAAGTAAGATAAGACGAATGAAATATGCAAAATTATTTGCAAAGAGTTTAAACATAACCATGTTGGTCAATCCAGTCGTAGAATAACCCAAAGGACTTATGAGTACTATACTGCATGATATATCCTTACTAGTTTCGATACATATCGATGAACACAATTATAACGTCGACTGGAACATCGTGAAAACCGCAAGGAGACACGGCACCCCAACCAAAATATAATCGACAAGCGCGTGGAAGTTGACTTAATATACTAGAGAACTAGAAATTAATCATGCAACTCAATAACCAGACATTACTTCAACAGCATAGGTGAATAGATAGAAATAGTTATAAAGATCAAGTCCTGACAAAAAAGACAAGTCACTCCTACGCACAAACCAATAGCCCTCGAGGTCGGCAAATATGCTGCATAAACGTTCATGTAACTTAAAAGTGACTCACTCCTATATGAAGTAAATGCTGATGAAGTCGCCTAGCCTGATAATGAAACCACCAGGAACAAACCTCGGGGATCTTAGAACATCAAATGGTTATCATCTTCATCCTGAGGTACAAGTCTGCTCTGCTATCTCAAAAACGTACATCTGTCATAAGATTTCATCAGGGGTAAAGCCTGGGTATTGTGAAGTTCCATTTTAGTCTGTTTATCAGATGTATCGCTCAGTGAGTGTTGTTTCCTGGATGTTTCAGACAAAACTTAGTATCGATAGTCACATGACAAGTTACAAACAGAGTAGGATGAAATTCGTCATGGGAGAAAATTGTGCAGCCTACCAGTGGAAAAGTGGTAACACCATTAACTTTATCATTCTTTAGTGCACATTTTAATGATATTCACTTCATATGATGATTATTATCGTTGTGTATTTTAGATTCGGTGTCCCATATGTTTGGATCGTTCACGAAACTTGGTTTTCATGTGCGGTCATGCTACATGTCAGTGGTGTGGTGACCAGGTCACTGCATGTCCAATATGTCGTAGAGCCGTGGAAAGTCGGATTATTCTCTACTAAATACTTTGAAAGTAATTTACTTATGATTCCTAACAAAAGACACCCTAAACATTTGAAAAAGTTCATTTCTATTGTGTATTTATATCACTGATCTCTAATTAATCAAACATGAGTAAACTATGTACTTAATCATGATTTACACTATGTTAATGTGTTGGCAAGCATTTATTTTCACATAATCATGCCAACTTTTCCGGACATTTCGATTAATAAATAGATCAGTTGCAGTAGAACATTTTTTTCAACCCTTAAATATATACATCTGGTCATAACTCAACTATCAAGTCAGCCTCAGCCAATATATATGTTACGAAATCTTTCGTTTAGGGTTATTGCACACAGGATTACTAGTAATCACTTAATAAGTTCATTTCAAAACAAATTCTAGTCAATTTGAGATGGGCTTAATTTAGTAACTGACGTGATGAAAGTTGAACATTCTTATGTTTGGCATTCGTACTACATGTAACTACAACATTCCGTGACTATCATTAAATTTAAATAAAGTTAAAACTGTTTTGTTTTTCCTCATTGGAATTTTCGGGAGTTAGTAGTTCTTTTTAAATACAAATATTCAATCACCTATGATCCTCATTCTAAAACAGATGAGTTATTATATCACGGAATCGTCATACCCATTATAAAAGTTGATAGTTATATGCATTACTGATTGGTGAAATATGTTTCTAAATTTCATAATTTTTTAATCCAAAAAGCTGAATTTACTTGACTAGTGAGTAGATTACAGACAGAGGAAGTCAACGTAAACCTCAAACACACACAGAGCCATTCGCCATACTTCACAGTTGCATACAAAGAACAACTGGATAGAAAAAGATTGATAGCAAAGTAGAGGGAAATAATCTGACAGTGAAGTTTAGTGAATACGTCTGCACCATTGTAACTCTTCAAGTAAATGAAGTAGTCGATGCATTCCACCATAACATATTCCCTATTCTGAAACCAGAAGCAGATGCAGACCAGTCCGAAGCATTATCATATATTTGACAGATGGGAAACGTATACCAAACATACCATGATTTCTGCTCAACGCTTTAAGAAGACTGTTCACCTAACAAGACAAAACTGCCTGCGTACTCCATATTAACCAGATGATTTCCGGAAATGGATTAATTCTTGTGAAGTCAGATGTACTTAAGATTATGTGCATTAGTACGTCTACAGCAAGTTGAAGTGGGAACGGTGATAGCAAGCATTTCTGATGAACACCACTAGTTGTTTCCAATTCAAATGACAACTCTCCATCAGTTATTATATGGCTACGCTAGTTTGTAAAGAGAGCTTTGACTGGAGCTATATAACTTCCTTGTTAGTCACACAATCGGAAACAGCTGCAAAACCACACGGTCGACAGATACGAATGCCGCCCTAAAGTCAAGAAATATAGCAACTACGGCAGTGCCCCAGAACCCACCGAAAGGTGAAAATCTGAACAACACACCCTCATCCGAGATCTGCCTGATTATCTCGAGTTTACTGCTCTCGTGTTCAAGTTAGGCGTCTGATACCAAAGAACTCAAGGATCTTTGATACAGTTTTAGCTAAACTAATTCCCCTGTGGTTTTCACAAAAAGACTTCTCTTAATTCATACAGGCTAAAGTCATCAAAAAGCAGACAAGTCTGTCAGAAATAACCCTCATACCCACATACTACCTATTAACTCTACTACACAACTCAGTAACTGTCTACCAACAACCTTAAAATCTTCAAGCGCCAAACCATCAGGTTCTGATACTTTGCATAGTTTCAGGTTTGAAATGACGTTTTCAATTTCCGGGGAGATTGGGAGGACCGATATCTACTTTCCATTCAGGTTCAGGCTGGATTTCGGGCAACAGGAGTGTTTCCGTGGGCCGGTTGAACTGTGCTTCAAAGTGTTCCGCTTAAAGTTCTAACCATTTGTCCTGGGAGGTTATCAGACTACCATACCTTCCAGGGACTGTTTCACTAACCGTAATCTTCTCGTCGTTTTTCTTTACTGGCTCAAATAGTTGCTGGTCATTACCTGTTGCTGAAACCTTCTCCATCACTTAAGCGTTCCCAACCAATCACTTTGTTGGGATCATTGCGAAGACACTCAGTCTATTCACGTCTCAGCTGCCTTCGCTCTTCATCGTGGTCACAGACAGTTGAAATGAGTCTTCTCACATCTATCATTTCGGATGAGGTTGCGGAAATCCACTGGATTTGCCAACCGTTGGATGTACGCTACCAACTATCTCCACCACTGTTTCTACACAAAAATGAGCATCATACAAGGCTTCATCACGATGAAAATTGCTGTCATGTTAAGATAAATACTCAGCTATCTCCTTTCTAAGCACATACTCGACTTTATCATCTTCCAGTAGAGCACACACATGCTTCACTGCAGTCTATTCTCTGCTACCAGTGGGGCGCAAGCATACACGTGCCTCTACTAACGCGTGATCAAAGTTCAAGCAGCTACTACACAGAGACCGCCAATACTCCACCAATCTTCTCCAACCATGGCTGATACCAATATGATCTATCTGTGTCCATCTTTGGTTTGGTATCGGTGGACGCCAAGTGAGACACTATCTCTCACTAGGCTCGAAACAAACGCTGACTAGAAACAAGTGATTATCAGAACGAAATCATACGAGGTGATCATCATTGTCAGTTTGTCGGCATCAAGTACCGTAGACACCTACACTATGCCTTTCCTACTTTTCCAACTAATCTCTACTTGAGTGAGTGTTGAAGTCCTCCGCTGGTACTACTACATCTGAACACTTTGCTTTGTGTAGCAAAGTTCACAGCTTTCCGTTGAACTCATCATTTGCATCGTCTGAATTTCAGCCGGTGGGTGAGAAGGTGTAGATTACAAATGACCATCGGCAAGTCTCACGTCCCCTCCTAGTTCCTACATATACACTCAGTCAGTCAGACAGCACACATACTTGGTTATCCACTGGCATCCAGTCGAGGAGTGGCGCTTTCTGCTCTTCAAAATCTAATGCTTTACCTACACCCCAGCAAGTCCACGAGAGCTAGCCATTGCATCTAAAGACACATGTAAAGTGAATTTAGAAGATTCATCACACTGACCAGGAGAGGTCGAGTGAATAACCACACTTCCCTCATGTATACCTGTCTCACAAACATATCCTACATCATGCCTCGACATTCCAGATTTTTGGTAGGAGATGCATCTTGTCTGATTCCACGTATGTTGAAAGCACGTCGAATGCTCCAATGTGAAACGGACACTAAGATCTTAAGAGACTAGTGGTGCCGTCTAGCCAGCTCGAATCTCTACCAATGGTCACATGGTAAGAGGTTCCCGTAGTTGGTGTCAAGAAAAGAATACAGTGGAGGAGACTAATGTAAGTAGGATTGGCTATGTTATATTGTATCTTATTTATTATTGGAAGCATGTGCGCGGTTGACACTTCCCGAGTGTGCACACAGTGGAAGGCTACAGTGGAATACAATACTGTCGAACATAATATCATCGGGTTGCCTTTACAGTTTCCCATCTTCTGTCAACGTGAGATGGATTCCCTAAAGTTCTCATGAATTTTTATCCATTTCGAGTGTGAAGATTACTTGTCACCAGTAAAACTGGTGAATGGGCAGAAGCTGAAAAACATATACCAGTGTATTCTACCTCGAAAGCCAAGCAGTAATGAGGTTACTGTGAGAACAAATAGCCCTGAGTTCATCCTACTTCAACTCATGAGTGTACAATGCTAGGCGGTCCTAAAATAGGACGAAACAGAGTTCTACTCCTGAATTCTTAATAGCAATTTCAGTGATACTGATTTTTGTTTGATAAATACTTCGAAATCAATCAGTTGTGCAAAAACGCCCCAACTAACTATTGACAGATACTCGTTAAAACATCAGTAGTTTTGTTCGATGATATCACATCTGAAGCAGTGAATACAAACTACGCTTCAACTCTCTGTTTTTTTCTGATGGTGATTCAAGTAAATATTGTAAAATATCAGTTATATTTTACTCAAGTACAATACTTTCGAAAGAAGTGCCGGCAGTTATTACAGACATTAAGTTGACATGTTCAATCGTCTCTTTGTAAACGATTATTGTAATTACCTCAAGGCTATTCCTACATGTTACCGCTTCTGTCATAAAATGCTCTTGTTACACTTATGAAAATAATGTCAAGCAACAAGTTTCTCCTAATCAGATTAAAATTCAGCATCTTTTATTTAGGCTGGCTGGTATTCTAGGTTCCATTTTAAGTACTAAATATCGCCAAACTGAACCACAATCAGCCGTTGACTTCAACATTTCTCTTTCAAAGCAGTGGTCAGTAAAATGCTTCGAATCAGTACTGTGAAAAAGTAATCTAATAACAGAACACTAAAAGATTAACCTGTCATGAATCAATCACCCTTTGGTTGGGATAGGAAAACTAATTCAAAATTAGAAGCTCAAATGCAATGTTTATTAGAAAGTTTGAGCTAATATCTCACACTATTTTATCCTCTAAACAAGTGAAACAAAGAAATTCTAAACAAGTTTTCACTAATTGACATGAAACTGAAAAGCATTGAAATTTCAAGTGATGAAAACTTGCTTCACTGTAGTTAAGAACGTTTCAGCAGTACACAGCTATTTTTCAACCCATCCCACATAAACTAAATATCTTTTCTAACCTAAGACATACAAAGGTGAACTGGAGTTGGTTTTCATAATGGTTTACTGATAAAATGTCATTATATCTCGATGTGATTTCCAAGTAAACATGTCCTGTATAGCTTCAGACTAACCTTACTCAAGGGAATAATATTTTTAGTTTTGATTCATCCTTATACTAGATAGTCAACAGTTTCATCAAATAAAAACGCTGAAGAAAGGTGAAACATTCAGAATTCGATGTTAGTGAAAACAAATATGAAAGACTTTTCGATTGATTGACTACTAGGAGACAAAGCAGAAGAAGAGGGGACTACTTATTCTGAATAACTAATCATTTCGCCAAGTATCGAAGATAGTCTTTAGTACAACATCCTAAAAAAATTTAAACACATTAAATGTTGTTGTTTAAGAGTGATAGCATGAGGAATATCTGTAGCTAGTAGAAGAGTAAAAATAATTCGGTGGAATTTCTGCGGCTCTGTAGGGCATCAAAAAGTTACCATCAGTTAGTTAAAACTAAAGTTGGATTGATACAGTTTAATATTCAAAGTAAGCAATATCAGGGCTCAACTAACACTCAGTGATGGAGGCATAAGAGGCGATATATTTAGCATAGATCTTGGAGATAGTTCGATACTAACTGAATGTTTAATTTCAGTCAAGAGATCCATTTCCCAAAAAGTCTCTCGAAGACGTCTAGTTTATACGTAATAACTGATAATCAGCGCATAATATAGCCAAAATACATCCAACTGAATAGAAACTAGTAAACTCGAAAATAAGCACATTTTATAGATTTTTCAGGCTTAATTCCTACGAAATATGCTCAATTTGTTTAGCTTTTAGATTTGTACTGAAATTTATCAATGATATAAGTAATCGAACCTAGTTGAGAGTTTAATCCACCAGTTTGAAAGATGACGATGTTGTAAATATGAAAAACTCAATATTATAATGACTTGTTAAACGGTGAATTAGTCAGATAATTAGCGAGTCAACACTCCACCCTCAAGCTAAGAAGTAGTTTTGACACATAAGTAGTCAGCAATCCATAAATCGTTAATATTCATTTTTAGAATTTTCATTCACTAAAGCTAACACTCCTGAAAGTAACTATTTGTATGCTGCATTTATCACTTTGGATCTAAAATTATCAACCTCAACTCCATTTTCTGAATGGCATGATATTAACTGTAAAACTATTCAGAAGCAAGGGGTATTAAAAATCTATTCAAGTTTGGGACTCTTCAGTAATTTATCCTCTTCACTTTACCTGCAGTTTCGTTCAGAAGCAATAAACTAGATCATGCACAAATCAACCAAGTTAATACATTAGAAAACATATGCACTCCACTAGCGATCAGAAACTCCTGGATTCTGTTCCAGAAATAAAGGGTGTATAAGTAAAAACGGAATATCAATCGAATACTTGTTCATTTTGAGATGATTTGTTATGTAAATCGATTTCTTGATGTGAGCTGTCTATCATAATTACAGAAAGTTTACACATTGAATGAGAATGATGACGTTTTCTTTATTGAAAACTTAATGAGTTGTGGTAAACTAATTATATACACATAAATGAAAAAAATGGAACAAATATTAACGTTATTGTAGATTATCATAAGTATTAATAAATAACAAATGATAAACGAAGAATGAAATGGAAAACAAAGATTTAAAATGAACTCAGTTAAATAGTCGAGTTGAAACTAGATAATGCACCATCTGCTCAACAGAAGACTTCAAGAGTAAAATTGAAATTTCCAGCGTGACTGAGGAAAAAAGAAACTTATACAATTTATGTCTGCTATCGACTAACTACTTCACTGAATAGAAGTAAAAATGCAATATGCAACAGACATAAATGCCTTTGTGGAGAGAATAATAAATCAAGAAAGTAAATAAGAGTAAAATGACAAATGGTTGCGTGTGAAATACCAATCATAATAACAGTAATACTAGTCATCGTAGTGGTAAAAATGAAGTTTCAACCTTATATATATATATATATATATATATATATATATATATATATATATATATATATATATATATATCTGAAAGAGTGATTACTCATAATAAACCGGGATTTCGTTGTAACTAGTTTACATTTCATTGGAGGCTACAGATAATCAAGGTAAGAGCATCCAGAAATAAAACATTCCAGTAAGAAGCATGGGCTGATGAAGCAATACCAAATAAAAGTGATGGAGGACCCAATTCATCGCCTGGTGGTGTTACAAACAGAAACCATGTTGGCACAAGATCAGACTGCCTTAATTTCATTGGGAAATTAGTAGCGCTAGAAAATCGTTCGGAATTTCGATAATTCAATCTTCCACCGGGGAAGATTTGTTGTAATTGTGGTTTTGAAGTTGGTGTACGATTCAAATAACTGTATCGTTCAATATCAACTCCATCCAAGGAATAGCCATGACGGTTATAAGCTTCAACGATTAGCTGAAAATATGCATGTAAAACAAATGAAATCCAGGAATATGAAAATAACTAGGTTTGTTTGTCACTGGTGCATATTTTCAAAATGGTAATAAAAATTTGTATATTCTTGAGAGTGATTCAGTTACCCTGCGAAACTCTTGAGCAGCACGTGACTTGAACATTACCACCTTCGGTTAAGATACTAAGTTTTTTACAATAACTGGGAAAAAATTTGAAGCCTATTATTTTCATGTCGTTTCCAACTGCATGTATTTCATACTACATTCTGAAGCAATAGACATGCTAATTACATTATGCAGCATTCAGTCCTGGACCCACAAGAGATCAGTATGGGAATGGAAGATCCTTCCCTTTTACACCCATTAAAGTTACAGTAAGGTAAGTGACTTCAATTAAGAATAAAACAGTAATAGCCAGTGTTATTTATAGATGCAAGCTTGATTTTAAACGTCATTTCCAGGATCTTTCATGAATAGGTTAACCAGGATACTGAAATCTGGTCCCTTGCTTTCAAATTCATTGGCTAGTGCATAAAATTACAATTTGTAAAGCACCATGGGTTACATTAAAATGATAAAGGAAAGCTGCATTCATCATAACGCTTAAGATGTCACTGAAATTCCTCTGAAGTTTCAAAAGCCAATACATTTTGTTAGATCCCACTTTATAACAAAAATAAACTTGAAATTTCAGAGAAAAGCCTTTACATTCTATAAATATCGAGGTTCTATGGCATCAGGTGTGTACAACCTCGACGGAACCACCATGAGACTGTAGCTGTCAGCATTTAACGCCGAAACCAGAATCACAAGATCAGTTGGTGATTTGTACCTTGGAGAAACTACCTGAAGTAACTGTTCATGGTGTTGTAATTGACATCTTTGGAGGCAATTAAAGTTTATCAAACACAGGTTTCCTCATGATGCAGTTAAATCTTCCCAACTGATTGTTATCCCCAAAACTAGACAATTAGTGTACTAAAGCATAGCCACGCCACTGGTTATTAACTATGCTGATCGTGATCTGCATACTTATATTAGCGATAAGCATTGTATTTTGAGTACCCATCCCCCTGGGACTCATCCACATGCACTGTTGAAGTTATGGTTTGTTATTTGGGGTACTTGACTCACCACAAGAGAATCAAAAGCCCAGATTTAGTTCCACACACCTACGTTCATTCATAGATGCAGCATGATTATAGTTTAACGAATTAGTGTCGCATATCGCTGTTGAATTTGTCCCAATCACTGGCAGTAATAAACTTGTGGGAAATAAACTTATTCGTGCAAGCGATTTATGCCGATAACTAATACTCAGTTGCTCCACAATAAATTACCGAAAGAATAAATTGGATCAATTCTGCTTCCTTTAACTCCCCAATGAGTTTGACATACTTAAAATAATTAACATAAATTTGTATGCAGTTTTCAATTCCGCTCGCATTACGTTAAGAATTAAGCTAATTTGAGTCAATCAATGTGCAGCGAAGCATTAATTATTAATATGCATAGTCCTTAAAAGATAGTGTGACAAATGTCCAATTTTATAAATAGCTTCATAATTGAAAGGAGATTGAGAACAAATAACCGCCGATTAATTTAATTGATGGCTAACAGTAGAATCCAGAAAGCGCGTTTCGTCCTATTTGAGACTCGTAACCTGGATGTACATGCACTCCAGTGAGTGATGTTGTTCCCACTGATACTCAAACTCAACACCCATCGCTTCAAGGCGTTATTGACTAGGCCATCGGCGGCAACAGCCATCGACTAAGTTACATATATAGAATGAGAAATAAATCATAATCAGATAAATGCAAAGAACTGATACAGAGTGGGGTTTTGTATAAATATGGTAGAAATGAACGAGATCGGTTATTGAAATGATGGTGGTGATTATTTACGACTGATCATCATAAATTCATGTCACAGTCATTTGTCACCGAAAAATACGTGATAATCAAATGATGGGTAAATGTTTTTGTCACTAAATGTGTACGGCTATCGTTCGTTATTCTTTTACTAATAAATAATAAATCATATCTTCATTTCTTCACGAGTACAGAAATTTCCGCTTACTGTCGTCGTTATCAATAATTTTAGATATAATGTAAATGATCTAGTGGTTCACTCTTTCTAATTTCACTGAATTAGATGGGCACATCAACGTAAAACCTTGCATAAAATTGCATGATTTCAATATACCACACAATATAGCAGTAAGAATGGATAAAAAAAACAATGACAGTAAAGTAGACGGAATTGTATGAGAGGTGATGGAACTAAGGAATTCAGGAAATATTCAGAATTTTGCATTTGTGTATCTATCTGTGCCATTGTAATTCATCCTGGATAATATCATCCTGATTACCCGAAGCAAATGGCTTCCATCTCTCTACGCAGCAAACCATCAACGAAAAGAATGGAATGCTGATGACCTCCCGAGACAGGCTGCTAGAACGTTCAGGAGAACACTGAAGCAAAGTGCAACTAGCCCTCAGCAACGCTTTGATTATCCAACATCCAGGCTGAACCTGAATAAGACTTAGACGTCGGTTCTCCAACTCTCTTTGAAATTGAGAAGGCTGTCTAAAGCTTGAAACGATGCAAAGTAGCTGGATCTGACAGTTTGCAACCTGAAGTTTTCAAGGATGGAGGTAGGAATTCGCTGCTTAAAGTGACTGGGGTACTAAGTAGTGTATGGTCAGTGGTTGATACTTGCTCAACATATTTCTTGACCTGAAGACGTCCCTTGAGTCTGTCGACCATGAAGTGTTTTGATAGTATCTGACTGTGAAAGGAGTACCGAGTAAGTATATAATACTTATTAAAACTCTCCACTCGAACTCACCAAGCCGTGTCAGGGCTTATGGGAAATTGTCATATGAACTGACGACAGCTAATGGTGTCCGACAGGGATCCCCACTGTCACTGTTCCTACTCGACTTCGTCATAGATATTCTCATGAAAACAAAATTAGTTACATCTGACCACAAGAACTTATCTGCTCCCTGGAAATCATCTGGTTGACTTAGAGTATGCAGACGAGATTGTCCTGCCAGTGGAAGATGCTGACAAAATGCAGCGTCTTCTCAGCGTGTTGAGCAGAAATTATAGTATATTTGGGATTCGTTTCACTGGCACTTGTCAAATGTAAGATGATGCTCCAGTCCTGGTCTGCTGCAAGTACTCCCAGTTTGATGATAGGGATTGAAGTGGTGGAATGTGTCTACCAATTCACTTACCCGCAGAGTTGTATCAAGTCAAATGAACTGATTACTGACGAAATCTCAGCTTGGATACTGAAGGTCCGTTTGGAATTTACCAACTTCGTCATCTGCGGCACCCATTGGAGATATATCCGACTATCTATCAAAAGATGGGTATATCGCGCTGTAGTTTGCTCTGTCCTGTTATGTGGCTATGAGACATGACCGTTGAAATTAGAGGACATGAAGTGATTACAGATGTCTTTATACTATCGCTCGCGTCTGGTCAAATCACAGTGTGATCAATTATGAAGTCAGATGAAGGGTACTAAGCGCGACAGGTAGGTCAATCAATGAGGTCATGAACTTTCATCGGCTGAGGTGACCTGGACATTTACTACGCATGCTGGGCCACTGCATGCATCAACGTGGCATGATAGGGGAGGTTGGATTAGGCTGGAAAAGGGTTCAGGGTGGCCAGACGAAGATGTGGCACCGGCCCATGAAGTCACTCATTGTTAGTTTGAGCCGTGTAGGGGGAGATGTAAACTGCCTGGTTAGAGTCCTTGAGGGGAATCAGTGATTGAGGAATTTCGGTGATATGGCTGCAAGTCGGTCGCAATGGCGCAGGTGTATTTACTCCTGACCATCTTCTAAAGCTTGACTATTTCCACTAACCGTTATCTGTAAATTGTTTATTCTCTTACATAACTTTGTCCACTTTGTTATCACTCTTTTTCTGTCTATTCTTTGCATACTTCCGTAAGCGTGGCAACTTTAACCGCTGCACTTGCAAGCGAGATTCTACGTTGATTTTGTCTGTCTGTCTGTCTGTCTATCTCTGTCTACGTAGCATAAATCAACAATCAAATACTTCATGAAGTGACCCCACTAATTATTTTGACCATTCTCAGCTTTTGTAACATCTTTACTCTACTTTGAATAGCATCATGGATCATGGTAATTAGTGTCTCGATATGGGAAACATTTAAAGGCCATCTCAATCTACTAAACTTAACAACTGTCTACTAACTTATTTACCGTGCATGTAATGTCTAAACCTAACCTTGCGCGTATGATTACCTGTGGCCAAAAACCTGTAGTCTTATCATGCCTTCTACTTTCAACAAAACTTGGATGGCATAAATCATGAAGTAACTTTGTAAATGACAAAAAACTCCACAAGTTAAGGTGTTAATTAGCTTATAGGTACTCTATGCACGCAGTTTTTTTAACGGGTTAAACATCTGGATAATAAGGACAGGGTGGGAGGTGGTATATTATGTATGTTATATATAAGCGTAACATGGAGAGAAAAGATTTCAAAAATAGACCATTCAACCTGTCTGAGGCCCGCTAGTTTGTTTAATGGCATCCCTAGAGTAAACAGTAACTACTAGAGCTTCTTAAATCACCTTATTCAGGTAAATACCAAAGTTACTTAAATAAACAGGCCTGCTAAAGGTAATTGCAAGCAAGGACAAACAGATATCAAGGCAGATTTTATATAACCAGACTCACATATGCACCCATTGTGAAGTCACAGTCAAACTTACTGCAAACACTGAACCAACTAGTTGTGAGTGGTCTCAGAGTGCTACATTCTGGATGAATTGCTTTATTCTACGAAACACCCGGAAAGCCTTTTAAATCTTAGTAAGAAAAGTGAATGTCCACGTTTTATTCAGTTCCAACGTTAATTTCAAAGTGATGAATTTTCTCACCTTCTGAAAGCAAAAGCTAGTGATATTTGTTTGCCGCAATCAAATATATCTTCTATAGTATGGGAGATTGAAGGCAATCCGTAGGAAGCCTTCGGTCTTTGAAAGAGCATCTGTACCTTCAACCTTGCTGACCAGTGACAATCAGCTGAAGATCGAGGTTTATGGCTCCTTACAGACCTTATCCAATCGTCTGGCATAAAATAAAAAAACCACTTGTAGTTATTTAAAACTTGCTTGCATGGGATTCTATTTAAGACGTCCCCTCCTCCATAGACTGCTATATTTTAAGAAATAATTTTTTGACTAGAAGTCCAGAAATATGCTCCCATTTTAAGGGATTTTCACAAGTGACGTCGGAGTTACCACTTTGAACAAGACAGAAGAAAATGATCCCATGGGAAAACATAGATTTCAAGGACTGAAGACCAACAGAAAAAGCAAATGCGTATTGATTTTTTGCGATAAAAAGTTGACTACTCAGTTTTGGAAATCAGTAGCATTTTTGATTTGTAAGTGCTGTTTTTGCTTGGAACCCGATTACTGAATTAAGGTCAATATTTTCTGGAAATCAAGTACCCTAATTATCTACAGTATAGAAAGAGGCACTGATACATCATATTATCTTGCCATTTTTCTGGAACTTCAGAGTTTAAGTCTAAAGATTTCAAGTAATGTGTGGTTGAAAATTGACAACGTTATGAAAATAATAGTAATCTTCGTTGTCTCACAGATCTTTTGGTCAATAAAACGTTGCAACAGTTGTGTTTTTTTTAATTTGGAAATACTTTCTAACTGAAAAAGGTGAATAATCTGAGTAAAATCAGCAGCGTTATTTTGTAAATGACTTCCGTTTTATGTTACTGCTTGTAATTTCCTGCTGGCTGTTGGACCGAATCGATAGGTCTCTACTGGGGTATAGGCTCCTAAGCGGATTCCCCGATACTGCCTGCTGTTTCAGCCTGATAGTAATGATAGATATTGGCTAGCCGATAGTGACTGATTAAATCTGGTGGAATCAACGACGGGAAATGACAAGTAAAAACATCAAAACTATACTAGTCATGCATAAGTGGCTAACGTAATTCAGTGGCCCAGTCGATAACGCTCTGGCATTTGAATTGATTAGTTATGGGGTCAAATCTTAGTGGAGACAATATCATACACTAAGAAGCAGGTATATCCAGATGATTAGTCTCAAATAGGACGGAACACCCATCCTGGATTCCACCGCTAGCCACTTTCCATCATTACCATAAAAAATGAGGTTTTTTATTCAGTCTATCAAGAAACCTATTAGTTTACAAAAAACACTATATTTAATGTGCTCTATTCATGGGTAGTTACATTCTAACTTAAGCAAAAGCAGCAGTTTAAACTTTGAAACAACAGGTAGAACAGACATGGAAACCTCAATATGATGCACATAAGAGCATTTTACCCTCACTTAGTCGTACAGGTAGATGTCACAGCATATGCTGAAAAATCAGCTGCATAAGTCTACTGGCTTTCAAGCAACTAAAAACTACTGATAGTTCCAATATCATATCTGTTCGGTGGATTTAGCCTCAAAATCAAAACCAAAGTTATTTTAATAGAAAGTATCATTCCTAACTAATATTTCCACTCTCCTGAAAAATGATAACAAGAAGTTAAACTTAAATGTATACATATATTTGTAATTATTTTCATAATTTATCGGAGCACTGATGCGCAGTACTATAATCTGGCTCACTATAACCACCCAATAAGCATATCCAAATCAGTTAGTGGTTTACGAAACTTTCTAATAACTGAATAAATTTTCAACCGAACATATGACAAAAATTGATTTATAGGGGATTGGTATATTCAGCAGGAAGCGTAATGAGGGAGTTGTACATCTTTGCACACGAACTGAATATGTGTCTTACTAGATTTAAAGGTACTACATCCAATTGAAAACTTCCGTTTCGATTAGAAATCTGTACCCTACTGGCTGGATTACTAAACAACTACCTACTAGTCACAAATAAGCAAAATTAACAAATTTGCATAAAAATAAATACAACTTTTTCACTTGCTTGATAAGTGTGATCAGGCTTCAATGGGGCCAAATGATAATAATTTAAATACGGATTGTTGAAGAATGGTGTGTATGCTTTCCAACGACTTGTGGGTATAATATTTTCTTCTGTGGTAATTGAAGTTAAATCGGCTTCAACAGTTCGGACACGAATTCGATAGCCTAGAATCGGGGAACCGCCACTTACAGGTGGAATCCAGTTTATAATATGTCCATAAGGATATATTCCAGTTGTAGAGTGAACCACCTAGATAAGTAACATTCAGCCTCCAAATTTTAATATTAAAAAGGCTTATCCGAGAATAAATCAAAAGCATAAAGGAAAAACGGAAATGGCGGTGTATAAAAATTTGCTGGGTAAGTAGGCGTCACAGTTACCTGGCAGCCATTTTTTATAACTTCACTCGCCACTTTTGTATATCTTTACCAGTTACTTCAGATTCCACCCTTAATGGTTGTTCAGTTTCTCCATAAATAGAAAAGGTGGTAACAGAACAGTAGGCGTGTATTTACAGCGCCAACGATAACGTCAACAATATGTATAAAATACAAGGTATATATATGCTACCATGGCCTTGGCTATTTCTAGGCCTACTAGATTTGAATTCGATTGATTTTTCATCTCTTCAACTAACCCGATACTTACATGTTGGTTCACATGTCTTTTCTTGAAATATCAAAGCAAACAGCTGGTTGAAAAAGGCTATAGGCATATGCGGCTTCCTATGACGATTTTGCCAATCTTTCTGCACACTATAACACCTTTGAAATAATAATCCATACCATAAAGTATCCTTTGTGCAATGTCACATGAATCCGGCTTTAGTTCAATTTTCTACTTCAGTGCACTGCTGTCACAAATGAAGCATTGTGACTCAACCATAGTTTTTTTATTCATAGTCACCCTACAACTAAAGTACTTCTACTAGCCAGCAAAAGTGTACATACTATAGCGGATGACTAACTAAGTAAGAATGTGACGTAAATATGAAGTGGCTATCGAATTACTTTTAAACCAGCCTATCATATATCCCATCTCAATATGTGTTTGAAATGAAGAAATTTACTTCAAAAGATGTTTTCAAACGATCTTTTCCTTCAGGACTCAAATAGTTTATTTTCAGATGCAGATTCCTGCAAACCTATTCATGGAGAAGACCAAAAGTGGTGTAAGAGTTAACTTGGACGGAAAATTGCAAAATCTTATATCAACAATAAAGTTTACGTGTTATTGCTTGTATGATACCGCCGATGATTGGACCGAATTGACCAGTCTCTGTTAGCATATAGGCTCCTGTGCGGATGCCTCGATATTGCCTGTGTTTCAGTCACGTATAATAATGATGGTAGTGTAGTGGCTAGCAGTGGAATCTAGGATGCGCATTTCGTGCTGTTTGGGACTCGTCAGCTGGACGTACCTGCTCCCAGTGAGTGATGTTGTTTCCACCGGACCCGGACTCGGGAGCGACCGCTTCAAACGCGAGAGTGTTATCCACTACACCACCAAGCCATGATAGCCACTTCTTGTGCAACGGGTATAGTTTTAGTGTTAAGCCTGAAACTGAGCTCTTTCTTGCAATTCGTCAGACAATAATTGATAGAAAACAACTAATATAAATGTAATGACCAATTAGGAAGAAGGTTAACACAAATGACCAAAATGCAAATGTATGAAGACAGTTTGTGTACAAAGTGAAGAGAAATATGCAACAAACCTCTACAGGACCTGGACGCGTACTAGGCAGAGTATGAACTGAGAAGCTGTACGGTGTACCTTTTCCAACAATACTTCGGGCAAAAAGTTTAAGTTGATAATTAGTGCCACCTAGCAAACGGTTTACTTCAAATCTAGGCTGAGTAGAATCTTTAGAGGCATCTAGCGGTAGGTAACTGGACCATACCATCCTTCCGGTCCTCCAAATGCTCTGTAATTCAATTCATATGCCATTGTCGGCATGCCTCCAGTATTAATAGGTGGACCAACATTCAGTAATATAGTTGACTGGGTGACTGAATAACTTTGCAACTGTGAAAAAGATAAAAGCAACCAACATTCTGAGATAAATCTTTGTGAAATACTGGTACACTTTTGAGCGTAAGTGCAAATCAGATTGATCAACCAGATACAACGCTGATTCAAAAAACTATTACATTTAGTCATCTTGAACGACAAACCATAAAATTGCTTCCATTGAGAGATGAAGTCAGGTGAGGAAAAACTAAAAAAACAGATTAACAGACAGCTTCTCCATCCAATTTCAGAACCACCAAGAGGCATCCTGGATCCCGAATAAGATAATACTCAAGACTTTTAGTTGTTAGGACTAGCGATTCATTCCATAGTCAAATTTTCAAATTACATGTTCACCCAGAATGACAACCAATTTTCCGATTATTATGTTTCAGACCGTTCAACAGTTTAAATACACACGTTGAGTAATTAGTAACATCTAGTTATACATTATAAACTGATACTTCAAGTATCACTGTCATCCACAAGCAATTCACAGGAAATAAGATTACATGTGGATTCTACTTAAATTGACCACTAATTAAGAAATGCAAATATTCTGTCAAGGTTATGAAATGCCATTTGGGTCGAAATCTGATTCTGTACGCTAATTACACCGACAACGTATTCCAAAAGTGATCTACTTGACTTCCACTAAACATCTTATGACTAAAACAAATGATAGAACAAGACAAAGTAGAGTCTTGTTGGTTTTGAAGTGTAACTTACTTACTTCATTGCAATATCAAACTAAGAAGTTAGAAACTGAAGAATATGCTTTTGGTTTTGATATACCTAATTCAGTGTTGATTAGTTTATAACCAAAAATTGGAATGCATACATTTACAAACAGAAAACCTTCAGTGATCCCGTTCTGAGTATAACGAACAGCAAAAACAGTTATGGTTCTAAGCAGAATTTATGAGGAAAAGCGCATGAATAATAAAAAGTAGTCACCTGGATGAAAACTCAAGAAACACAAGTGTAAAACTTTGGCAATATAGTAGATTGAAATTCTACATTGGATTTGTTTATTTGGTATACCACACAATGATACAGTATTATTTACCTGAAGACGTCTCGACCATAAATTATCGCTTATAGTCATATTAGAGTAATCACACAACTTTCGACATGTGATTTTTATAGTCTCATCATCTAATGTTCTTTAGTTTTAGCGGCAACAAAACTTCTCATATTTCCGCTATAGGTATTCCTAATGGGCAATAGAGTTAGATGTAAAGACACTGAGTCAGACTGAATTATCGAATCAGCAATCGATATATGTGATAAGTGACGCAACGCTTACACTGGAGACGTGAAAATTTCTACCACCACTAGAAAGAAAAAAATACAAGATGATAGTATGGTAGAAATCAGATGCCAAAAGTTGCATTACTGCTCTAATATGATTATGAGTAGTAATTTCTCATCGAAATGTCATCAAATAAATGATACTTTAGCCCTGTATACTAAAACAACAAATGTAGTAAACATGGAAAACTGAAGGAAGTCATCCTCAGATTGTTGATCAGGAAATTCATAATTCCCATTGTGACATCAAAAACAAGATATTCAACGAATTTATTCTCAGGCTGTACATTTAAATATATGATATTTAAAGACCTCAATCCATGGGGAAAATTAAACTTAAGTAATGGGAGATTGAAATAAAAAATAATGGTGTTTATAACTATAATAATGTTGCTAATTGATGATGTAAAGGTTGGATGATAACAAAAGGGGTTAGGTAAAACTTTTCAAATCGTTTACAGGGTGCATGTAGATTACAAAGGGGTGGCAATACGACAGCGGTAGTAAACAATCTAAGGGTTGGGTAATATGAATGCAACATACTAAAATCCAACAAAAACAAATGGAAAGGAAGGTTAATAACATCTCACCCTTAACACATGCAACAAAGGTGAATCATTGTGCTGAACAAGCAGACTAACTAACAATGAGCAAAGACTATACATATGATGCCTACTGGCAAATGTGTAGAGAAATATTGCTAAAAATGTTCCAACTGTTGATGTGATCACGGGTAGTGATTTTGCTCGAAATATTACCAAAATAAAAACTTATCATTGGGTGTAAGCTTGGCATTAAAAATTTACTTATAATCTATTGAAACGGGTTAACTGGGATAAACTGAAAATGTTTTTGTGAAGAGTTACAATTACTGGGAAGATCAAATGGAGTGATACCGGAAACTGTTAAATGTAAAAATAAAAATAGTGATAATGACGACATAAGAGTACAGATTAATGTATTTTAGAGATGAATGGGGATTTTTAATTTCGAAGCGGTATTCATCATGGACTGACATCAGTTGGGAACCATTGAAGATCTGGGAGCACTGGACAGCTGTTTCGTCCTAGTATGGGACTCCTCAGCAGTACGCACCCACAACCCGACTAGGGACCGAACTCAGGACCTTCAGGTTTCACAGCGAATTCATTAACCATCCAGCCACTGGGTCGGTTCCCAGCGGTTCACAATTTCCGACTTCTGTCAATTCACGACATAGAGCGACTATCACCCAAGGTCTTCAGTCAGCATCCACTTCACAAAGGCGGAAGTAAAAAAAAAACGAAATAAACTGAGACTAAATTAAGTTCCAGGTAGAGACAAAGACATTACATGCTTCCTTTGCACACAAAGATCCGATATCAGCCTATGGGTAGCCAAGGCCACTGCTGTTTTTAGAAGTTAAAGACAGAGAAACATGCAATATTTGAGCGAATTCGATAGGTAACCTTAAAATCATTGTTTGGATCGATTGAATGGTTCCTCAGATCAGTGACATAGGACCACTGCATAGCGGTGAAATAGGTATAACTAGAATCCAACATGAATGTTTGAGGAGTTTCTAGGAAATCTCAACCAAGAAAGCCAAAGCAGTATGATAGAGGAACGGTGTGCGCAATGTTTCTCATGATTAGTAGTTCAAACCAGATGACTGGCCGAAGCTACTGCCGACCTAGAATTATGTTTGATAATACATTCCGTGACTGAAAAGGTTTAAAGCAAAATCTGTACTGTAGCTTACAAATAATAATCAGATGACATTTTAATGAATATAAATCAATCTTAAAAGCTTGTAATGATGGCAGTATCAAACAGTAAATACATTTTTTATGACTGATGCTTTATTTATCTGCCTCATAGCAAATGGCGAATATTTTATCGGGCGGTTTTGTAAACGACTCATAGATAACTGACACAATGCTTACTGTTGGCTGTCCAGGAACAGATGATCGCTGAAAGCTAACTTTGTCTTCATTTGTACCTTTAATATTTGTAGCTTTGCACACGTATTCATCATACACAAAATGTTCTGTAAATAAGCATGGAGTAATTTGAAGCCATGACTGACTGCGATCCCAATAGTCATAACTTATTATTACAAAAGTTGAATTCTGTCCGTTTAAAATTTGCTCACCACGACGATACCAAGTCCTATTCGGAGAAAATAAGTTGATCAGCAAAAAAACAGACAGATAGACGTGTACAAAATATAATACCGAAGTTTATTAATAAACAAACTGCAGCGATTAAGGTAATACAAACGTCAGCTTTCTCAGCAAAGAAAGTTACTTGCTAAGAAATTTAGGACAAATTCTTCTGGTATTTACTTTCAGTGCTGCATAATCCAGTACATAACAACAAACATACAAGTTGACTCGTCATCATAAAAAGCTTCAAGGAACAATCAGAGAGACTAGAGCTGACAGAAAAGCATCCGGTTTTTTTTCCAGAATCCTACCCCCAGCAACGTTATAATGGTTGTCTGAGGCAGATATTCTGTAAAAAAGCCTAATCCAAGTGTACATAACTTTTAAGCGAAAAAGCATGCAACCCGGTCAAGAGGTTACTGATTTCGAACTAATAACGGATCTAAACACACTACATAACCAACACTGAAAGATCCGGTGGGGGATACCAATCACACTGCATTTCAGACACGTATGTGTGTCTTCATTGGTTCAGTAATTTAAAACTTCATGTATTGGTGGGGCTCATTTACATTTAAAAAATGTATTATATTTGAGGTCAAAGTAGCAAACAAGTAAGAAAATGTCCTTCAGTAACCTGAAATCAAGTGAACTCCAATACAAAAATAGTGATAAAGACCATATACATCTTTCAGTACAAGGTTAGCAAATGCCAACTTTGTTTGAATAAATGAGTGTATAATCATTTGTGTTCAACTATGATATGAAGCGAAAATGATTCAACCTTAGATTCCGACTGTAACTCGGTTCCTTACTTAAAATAAAGGTTAACAACGTCAGAATTTCTTCTAATAGAAATACTCCAATCAAGTGGATTTAACCGTCATTTAGACGAACTACAGTTGTACCTGAGTTTAAAGGCTTACCACCCAAATATCACTCTTGTTAAGTAACCTATTTAAATCTTTTGGAGATTTATCTTTGTATGACACTGCAAAGCTATTAAAAATAAAAACCGTAATAACATTTTTTGAGCTACCTTTCATATGACTACTCAGAAAATTGCTTTTTTAGATGTCATTTATTATATAATGCTATTGCTGTGTAGAAGATTCAATCACAAAATTTACATGGAATCTAACCAATATATCCAAAACACTGTTTAATAGTCATCTTAAATCTAACTACAGAGCGAAAACACTAAATTTAAGGAAAATAAACAGGTTTCATGTCTGATCATGTATATATTTACTACATCCTCATTCACCACGGAAACTTAAAAAATGCATACTTGCTTACATCTAACAAAAGCTATATTCCTTTAACCAACGGCAGTCTTCCATTCTGTTCATCAACAGCCCTTATAATAGAGCCTCACAATAATAACACCTAGGAAGTATGTAGCGTGACTACGTCTACACCTAAAATACTTAAAGTAGAAATATTCTAATGAAGTCATTACTTTAACTGTTACTGTAAAACCAGTTACATTCATCTATTTTATAGGAACTTACCTTAAAGTACTCATCAGAACTAACCAGCATATGTAGCTGGAAGTGTGGTAAGAACGAAACACTTCACCCTTAAACCAATTAAGTGAAACGAAACATAGCGTAAACACAAGTCATCCCTATCATTTGCGATGCTTCCCAGGATTAATTTATGACAAATGCTCCTCAATTTTCTACACTAATATAGCTAAAGCAATTCGAATCAAATAGTCGGAAATTTGAACCCAGGCAAGAAATACTAAATGTGCTGACTTATTTGTATTTAAGTATTGTGGAAATTTTCTAACAACTACAAAATCTTGTCCAGTTTAGTGTTAACAACCAAAGATTAACGCCTATTAGGTTTTTAGGTAAAGACTACTGAACACAGTTACGAACTGCTGGACATCGAATGTCTTTCTGCTTTAAACTCAATTTCACAAACGTTTTTATGAAGTCTTTGGATCACAATAAAAGGATTCCATGGGAAAGTCAGTCCATGAGTGTCAAAACTTTTTTATAAATGTCAATATACAACAAACTTACCAAGTTGGATGAGGCATTCCACGAGAAATACAAGTTAAATTAGTTGCGTTAAATCGCCAACCGAATCGTAATCCACTTTTTTCACTGTCTGGTTTATATCCCGTCCGGGTAAGAGTTGAGGAGTATCCATTACTTGGATGGTAGTATTCCAACGAGACGAATTTCCTTCATTGCCTGCATGACAACTGTAGTTCCATGTATCATCTAAACTGATGAAATATTTAAGGTTCTATATTTACCATAGTGATAATTTCATGAGGTGGTTATGTTTTACGATCATTTTGAGTAACACTTAGTAAAACAAACACAAATATGCGTGTGTTAAGAACATTTTATCGGTAAATTTTAATTATCCACTTCCGATTAGCTAGATAGTAGTGCAACTAACTGTAACATTGAAAAGCTATCAAAAATGCCACATCTGGTATGATGACTTACCTCCTGCTTACTTCAAACATGGAACTTGACCTATTTCTCTTTGTTATATTATCATGTATGATTAAGAGTTACTAGTCGGTCCTAAGCCCAGGTAAAGAGGGAAAGTTGAGCATAGAGTTAGCAACCTTAGCCCGGGAAATCAATCCAATCGTTGGAGAAACTTCAGAGCACAAAGAAAATATCAAAAATGAAAACAATATTATTCCTCACTGGAAGCGGAGAGACGAAATGACGCCGGTGGGTGAAAGCCTGCCTTCGGGAAGCCAATTGGCCGATGTGTCTTCTCGCGATGAAAGCAAAAGTAAGAATGGGGATATGGAGTGTCCGCACCATGTATGAACCTAACAAGGCTGCCCAGATTGCAAAAGAGATGAGAAGATATAGCATAGAAGTGACTGGAATCTGTGAGGAATCACCACATGGAATGGAAGTGGACTCTCCAAACTGTCAACTGGAGAGTCAATAATCTAATCGATATTTGTCAACAAGACGACAAACATGAGCACACTGGGTTTCGGAGTGGCTATCATGATGTCCTCAACGGCATCAAAGGCTCTCATGACGTGGCAACCAGTTTCCTGCAGCATTGTGACACCAAGATTCAACTTAAAACGAAGGAAAGTCACAATCATTCAAAGCTACACTACGCACCTACAAATAATACAGACCAAGAGAATAAGAAGCATTTCTACAGACAACTGCAATCAACACTGGACAAGACCTCATTTGGCGACATCAAAGTTCTAATGGGTGCGGTGACATGAATGGCAAACTGAGAGCGGACAACACAGGAAGAGAACTAACCATGAGCCGAGAAGCGCTAGGTGAGGTGATGAACGAGAATGGAGAACTGTTTGCAGAATTCTGTGCATTCAACGATTTGGTGATTGGAGTCAGGTAGTGTGTTCAAGCACAAGGATATCCACAAAGCGACATGGATTTCACCAGACACCAGACACACTACAAATCAGATCGACTTCGTGTCAGTGTGAAGAAAGTGGGGATGCAGCCTTCAAAATGAAGCTGGAAGCCTTCGAGGAAGAAGCTGGTGATGATAGACCACAGTTGAAGTTCAACACCCAGAACAGAAACTGAACTGAACGACGAAACTACGAAGGAAATCTTCACGTCAGTCATCAGGACAAAGTGGGAGATATTGAACAACATCCGTGAAGAAGCCTGTGTAGATGAACACTGGAACTCTTTGAAAGCTATGCGGAAAGAAACCTGCGTAATCGTGTTAGGAAGAAAGCAGAAAGAAGATAAGGAATGGAATGGAGTGGAATGTATCTCGATGGACACATGGAAGCTGATAGAGAGGGAAAGAGAGAGAGAGAGGAAGATGGTGAAGCAGAAGATAAACCAGTGAAAGGATGCACAACGAAAAGAAGAACTGAACACAACCTATAAAACACTCACTACACTGGACAAATAAGTGAAGAAGAGTGCACGCAAAGACAAAAGACACTTCTACAACACACTGGCAAGTGAAGCAGAACAGGCTGCAGGTAGGAGAGACAGAGACCTGACAACATTGTATCAAATAACTAGGTTACTATCTGGGGGGAAGAGATCAACACAGATGAAACCAGTAACAGGTGATGAAGGAAAGCTAGTTACCAAAGAAGAGAAACAAAGAAAACGATGGGCTGAGCACTTCAAACAGCTCTTTAATCGACCACCACCAATACCTGCAACTCATCCAGAAATACCACCTGCAGCCACAGAACTGCAAGTGAACACAAATCCTCCAACAAAAGCCGAATTTCTGAAAGCCATAAAGCTACTGAAATCCGGGAAAGCAGCAGGACGAGATGGAATTCTGCCAGAAGCACTGAAAACAGACACAGAGACAACAGCGGACATGTTCACACCACTACTGCAGAGGCTTTCAAGGAAGGGAGTTAAGGTATCTGGCGACTGATTGGAAGAAGGGCTACCTTGTCAAACCTCCAAATAAGGGCAACCTAAGTCTTTGCAAGAACTGGCGAGGAATCATGATGCTGTCCCTGTCCACCCCAACCAAGCAAAATATTAGGCTGCATCATCCTGGAGAGACTAAAATATGCTCTGTATTCAAAATTACGACTGGGACAGGCTGGTTGGCTGGCTGGCTGGCTTGCTTGCTTGCTTCGGGAAGTACAAATGATGTGCGAATCAAATTGCAACGCTATGCTACGCTACGCATCATCATAGAACAGAGCGCAGAATGGCAGTCAACTGGATCTTCACCTCGACTTCATCGATTTTGAAAAGGCCTTCGACAGCGTCGACCGACAGGCAATTTGACAGACAGCTGCTTCAACACTACGGTTTCAGTAGGAGAAACCTTTATCAACTGCATTCAACAGCAATATATGAAGAGGCAACATGCCGAGTGATCCACAGTGGGAAGCTCAGTGACGCCTTTGAAGTGAAGATAGGAGACAGGAGTAAACCAAGGTTGCCGCCTACTATCACCCATGATATTCCTGATTGTGATGGACTGGATCATGCACGAAACCGTGAGGAGCGAGAAGAGGGTGATAGGCTGGCTGGACCGATGGAAAGACCCCAGAAGAAGATTTCGATGATGATTTATGTCTGATGTCTTGTCGCAGAAACTCGAAGATCTACAGGTGAAAACTAACAAGTTGGCAGAAGAGGCGAGGCAGCGAAGACGGGACTTCAAGTGAATGTAGAGAAGACGGATGTGATGAAGATACCCAACCAACAACAACAACAACAACAAAAACAAACACCCATCACCATTAACGAGAGAAACCTAATGGAAGTAGTCTCTTTCACCTACCTACCTAGGCAGTATCATTTCAACTACAGGTGGCGATGATGAGGACGTGAAAGCCAGGATCGGAAAGACATCAATACACGCCTTCCTGCATTAACCTGAAATCAGTGTGGAGATCCACTGCACTCAGCACAAAGATGAAGATCAGGATTTTCAACACTAAGTCAGTCAAGTCAGTGCTTCTGTATGGTGGTTGGAAGACTTAGCGCGTTACGAAAAGCATTTCCAACAAACTACAGACATTCATCAACAACTGCCGCCTACGCTCACTCGATACTGACACTGAAGATCAGATGAGTAGAATGAATGGGGAACAAGGAACTCTGGTCGGACAATGAACCAACCAAGAACCCATCACCCAACAAATGTGCAGAAGGAAGTGGAGATAGATTTGATTGGGCATACACTGAGAAGGCCGACTGGGAACATCACGTACCAGAGACCAGGCCTCGAGTGGAATTCAAAGGGGAAACTACGAGTTGGGCGTCTGAGGTGAGGGTGACATGGAGGAGATCGTGTGAGGAGGAAATGAAAGTTTTGGTTGTATTGTGTTCTCTGAGCTGCAAATATTCTCCATTATTACGAAATAAAAGTTTGTGGGCAGTCGTGGCACCAGTTCCAAAGACAGCAGAGAAGAGAGTGCAGTAGGGGCGTGCTACTGAAGCCCTATGTTCTACTAGGAACCCAAGGAAAAAATAATAATGATAATAGTAACAGTAATGATTAACACTAAGTTCATATTCAGTAAGATTCCAGCTGCAAAGTTTCGCGATTATGACACTCGTATTTAGGGATTCAGCAAGTAATACTACTCAACACTATCTATTCGTTCATTTCACTTTAACTCCCAGTATATAAAGCTTACTAAATGTTTTTCGAGAAGTCGCCTATATGGACGCTAGTAAACCTACTCATATAATCACTGTGACAAATGTACTGATATAAGCGGTATAGGATTCTTGCAATTTACAGCAATCAATATGAAATGTTATACATATACATACTGAGAATTCAATATTGTATCACATATACTGTTTGGAGTAAAGCGGATATTACTACTATTATTATTAATAGGCAAATTAAAAGTTTGCGGTAACTGAACATAATATTGAACTTATTTCTAAACAAATACTTACGTTGCATTTTCAATTGTTAAAAACAAATCATGGTTCAATGGGTCGCTTACATCTTCTTCTCTCCATACACGAATACGTTTGTCATCAGGTTGAACTCCATTTATGTATGATGCGTTAGAGTTAAGGCGTTTGAAATAAAATTCCATAGGCGTAGTAGCACGTACTCGACACTGTACTCTAGCGGTGCCTCCTAATGTTAAATAAAATTTTACAGCTTTTTAAAACTTAAATAAACTTGAATTAATAAATATTTGCAAGTACCTGCAGATTAGACTAAGTACTGTTATCTAGAAAATTGAATTTACTACTTGTTCCCTTATGGAATTCAAAGTAGTTGATATCCATTTCTTCCTAAGCAAACATGAAATTAGGGAAAGACAGACATAAACGCAGTGTGAAATAGCGCAGCTCCGTACTATTCACAGTTGCGACACTTCACATAAGCATACTGCAGCTAAACTAGCAACAAAAAACAGGATAAAAATGAGACTATTAATACCAGCTACCGCAAAAAAACATGCATCGAGAACAAGAGGAAAAGGGTGAAAACAATGTGCGTCAAATTCGAATCGACTCAGTGACCAAGTTAGCTAAAGTCTCCGGGTGCTGATTTTAACCATATTGAGAACTTTAAAAAATCTCCCTTCCTTCCATATGACATGTATTAGCACATAGTGGCTTCATGGAGTGATGCCAGGTTTTTGCCAAGTAATCCTCATTTATTTCTTACTTAATCAAGGAGTAATCAGTCCTTGGTCAGAACGTTTACGAAATAAGCAAAATCACTAAATGTCGTAAGCATGATTCCATGGAAATATGTTAAATCCTTGAAAATACAGATTATCGGGTTAGAGAGACCCCTTTTAGCTCAGGGTGATGATAGTTATGTGGAAATTGGTAAAGTCGTGTATTTGTGCAAAGTTCACTAACACCGACTTTGTATAAAGTTAAGGTATGCTTACGCTGCACAATTGTGTGTTGAGATAAGATTTTTCCAACCCTGATGGATATTTGTTTAAAAGTAAGGGTCGGTCTTCTTGAAACAGTTCAACCCTCTTTTAATTTAAATGGTACTGAACGATACCACAAGACAATCTCTTTGTTGATTTCAGCCTTTACTTCTCATTGATGAAGTTATACATCATTATTGACTCTATTAGAAGACTTTCCTTAGCAGAAAGAAATTTCCCTTATACTGATAAATCACTGGAATTTAAGCCATCCCACTTCTAGTCCTGCGTGTTGATTAAATTCTGTCGACCAGATTCGTAATCTGATTACGAAGCTAGGAAACTATATATCATTTTAAATTTTAACTTAGGTTTAAATGGTTGGAAACCTGAAGACAGCAATTATCAGTGTCTTACTTGTTGACACTTATTAACAAAAGATATATACAAAGTCAAGCGAAATGACGCCTCTTTCAAGTTAGTTGTAGACTGAGTTCACATCCGTTCGTCTATTGGTAGCTGTTCAGTATGTATCCAAACTTTTAAAAACTTTGTGTTTCTAACCACAGTTACTGATGTGCTTGTTAGTGTGTATCATAATCAAGAATGGTACTTCAAGTATTCTCACTGTAAGCTTTAGGCCAATAATTTCGAGTATTGGATAGGTTTACATAAGCAGAAGTGGGTTTTGTGGATTATATCTGACCTATCTTCTTCCGAAACCACACTATTTACTGTGCACAAAGCATATGGCAGTAATTCAGTTGATTAGTTTTGTTATCCTGATTCCAAAAATGGGAAATATTACTTTCAAAGTCTTCCAGACATTTTTGGTCTCCGGTAAAATAATCTTTATTATGAGTTCAAATGACTACACCAATTTTTGTTGGTGAGTAAACTTTAACCACAAACACTTAACCAAGACAACTGTTATCTAACTCTAGCATTACACACCTCACATATTCGGTCTTTGTTCTTAATAATACTTCTCTCTTCTTAACTATAGGGTGCGGACCTGTGGCTGATTGATTTATGGAGATGACTTTCAACTGATGGGACTTGGGCCCCAGCGAAGCTGTACCTTTCGACGTTTGAGCACCCCCACGTGATGACATTTACCCTCACACACTAGGTGTGATTCACCGCCTACTGCAAGAATGTTGTCAGGGTTACTGAGTGCACTTCGATTAGATTTCGACTATAGGGTAGTCACCATTGCAGCCTAAACCTTGGCTAACAAGAGTGGAAGCACATTTAATCTAGATTTCTGAAGCCAGGTTTACCAGAAAACTCCCTCTTGATTTGTTTCAAGTGATACCTTTCAAAAAACAGTCTTGTTTACCTTAGGTAATTGATATTCTAGTTGAGCGAGTCTCATTGAAGTGAATTATTTATTTAATATTTCATAACTTAGGCCTTTGATTCTGTATACGATTTAAGTCCGTGAATTAAATGAGTGATTAAGTCTTTTCATTAGGATGTTTAGATGTTTTGTAAACGTTTTTCAACAGAGTGAGTAATGGAGTCCTTACCTGACAGAAAAAATTAACATCGTATCCGGTACTTATGTGTAACGATTCAAGCTGCCCTACCTCGCACCAGTATATCAGGCGGGAGTTCACGAAGATGGACGACAAAAAAATAAAGAAGGAAGCAGTTAAAAGTGATAGAAAGTCACCAACAGAGACCAAGAAAGAATGAGAGGAAAGGGAAGGTCAGTATAACAATTAAAATGAAGATAAGGTATGGATAAGTCTGTACCCCTGAGAATAAAACATGTTTTGTGTGAAAGAGGTTATCTGGGAAATCTTTTCGAAGTTCTGCAATATTCTACTTAGTGTCCTTACCACACCATATAAAAGTTATGCAAATTACTTTTCTTGAACTCTTGTGAGTTTCCACTGGAATATGACAGCAAAAAAGATTTACCGTAACCAACAGGTGACTTACCAATGACATATATATATATATATATATATATATATATATATATATATATATATATGTACAAACATTTGTTAGAAAGATGTAACACCTTCGTCAGTAATCAGCTATTCAAATACAGTCACATAAATCTCAACTCTGTAGAAAAAACTAAACTCGACATTATCTTACGCCATATTTACAGGTTTTTAAATTTATTGAAGCCTAATAAAAAAATTCCACTCACATTTTAAAGTGATTAAATAATACCGTTGAAATTACTCACTCCTTTCAGTAATATGTTGAATGAATATTTTCAACATGCAATTTTACGAAAAATGCAATGTGTAATGATTTTACCTAGAACATTTTATTTATTCGTGTACGCCTTCAATGCTAGGGAATAAATATTGATTTAGGCAGTCTCTGTGCAATAAACGTTCACTTGTAGAGAAGTTGACTGTAATGTTTAAAGCTGCAGTGAATATGCTTCCTAATGAATTTTGTCTGAATGCACTAACGATTCATCTGCAACCTATAGACTGACTACAACGTTAACTCAGTACTCACCAGTTCAAAAATTCGGAGGGGGTCACCTATGCTCAAAAACAATTGCAAAAACTGACTGCATGGCTTGTTTGATATATGTAAGCGCCCGGTGGTTTTTCTGTAAACTTGTGACCTTCCCAACCTGAAAGTTTGTTTACATACATCTTTTTTGAAAAACTTCCCTTAACCCGAACAGTTTAGGGGTTTTAAGTACACATTATGATGGACGCATAGTCCAGTGAGAACATTTCCTTATAAAGTTAAACAGTTCGATACAAAATACTCACCAAGTTCCACATAACTATTCATAGTTGTGAGCGGTATCAGTATTGGTGGGAGCGCAACACTTATATGTATTTGAGCTTCAGTTGTCGAAATCGAAGTGGAACCAGAATATATCGCAGGAACAGGGATCACAGCACGACATTTGTAAATACCTGAATCCTTCATCGTCAGGAGAAAATGCAATGATAATCACTGATTTACATGTGAATGACAGCCTTTGTGCAAACAAAAATAAACAATTCTTACCTAAGAGTGATTTATCTGATGCTGGTTACATACAACACATATATCACACTAATGAAGAAAAAAGGTGATGAATTAACTCGTGAAAATTAAAAAACTAGATTTCCTTAAACAGTTCATGTATGCTATATACAACTTTATAATTAGCTCTCTTCTATTCGTATGTCCTGCAATTAATTTACATAATATGAACCATCTGATTTCATTAGTCAGAGATGCAAAACGATGTAACTTCCAAATCATTTTCATCAAAAGCTATAAACTATCCAGGATGCGATTAAAACATACCCTATTCAAAGTGACTTCCTAAAACTACTTGTACTCGTCTAATTGTACAACTGAAAGTGAAATGGTTTAGTATTTGAAGAATTTCATTTACTCAGAATTTTCATCAGGTCTATTTTACTAGAAATTGTTAGAATCTCATTGATACAGTTTAAATTTTGCAAATTCTCCCATCAATACCTTGAACTGATCATTAGTTAACTAACATGAGATACAGCACAACCCTGTTCGTCCACACGACCGTAAGACACACGTAATAAAAAGGCTTCAAAGACTTCACTATGAGTCCCACATTAGAAGTAGTATTAGTACTTGCTAACGTTGAGATCCCTGAGTAAACAAGATTAAATTCATAGGACTACTCTCAGGTCTCACAAATTGCAGTAGGTTTATTTAACATACTCCTTTTCAGTATACGTCTGTGGCTTTCTTAACACAGAACGATTAGTCCGATATTGTCAAATATTTAAAAAGAAAGATCATACCAAAGTATTATTGATACCAAAGAAACATAAGTGACTTGCCTCAGGATATGATACCTCTGAAATACGTAATAAGCCAGCGCGACAATTTGTGTTCACGGAAAATCTGTTAGGATTTATCTTCTGTAGTTCTGTTTGCAGGTCCCGTTCATGATACCAGTGAATGGTAGGCTGAGGCTGACCAGAAGCTAGGCACTGTAGATATGCTTCAGTCCCAGAAACAAGAGCATTTTTGTTTGCTCCAACAATAATTGGACCCGAAGTTATGCGCGGACGACTAATATAATTTTGGGAAAGATAGATAGGTTATCCTCATTAGCTACTAGCCTAACTTACATGTTATAACAAATGACATCTTTATAAGGATGCATTTTCGCATACACTGCCAAAATGAAAATAAATATTAGTTTGTAAAATTTGGCAATTCCAAAACATCATGGATAGAAACATAACACATAGTAACAAGAAGAAAGGAAATGGTGGTGTATTGTCAGGAAAAAAAAGAACTCTGTAAGATCATGTTTCCGGTTATCTCACGGAGTAAGAATGACTGACGCAAAAATCAAAAGTATGGAGTTTTTGGCGACTTGATAGGATTTTATTATTATTATTATGTTATTATTATTATTATTATTATTATTATTATTATTATTTGTCCCTTGGGTTCCAAGTGGAACATAGGGCTTCCTTGATAGGATTAGTTTTGAATTAATTTTATATTTAAGGTGAACAATTTCAAGAAATGGTTCGGAACTTAATTCACTCATTGAAGCCCTAATGAATACGACAACCTAAAAGGCATACGAAATTTATATACAAACTTTATTCACCAAAATTATGCATGCTACAGTGCTTCATCTGATAAATAGCATTCTTTCAGAATGATGGCAAAACAAGAAAGACTTTTCAATCCAATCAGTTAGTCATCTCAAATTCATCCTCAGAAACGAGGAATAACAACTACAAAATCACCACCTTGACTTTGAAGCCTTTGAGAATAACTATCTATCAAAAATCAACAAAGTTACTTCTTTGCATAATACTATGAAGATGTAGAAACGTAACACAGAAAGAAAACAGGACGAACAATGTTAACAGAACAAACTGCACGAAGTGTAAAATGCACTACAATGGCCAAGACTAGGAGCCTAACTCATCCTTACACCGAAAATAGGAAATTAATAGTAAATTTTGAGGCAGATCACCTTCATGTTACTGTAAGTAAAAAGGCTACAGATATAAACATCATAAAGAGAAAGTGGGAAAATATTAGACAGAGTTTATCCTTAGAATACAAGGATATTTTTAGAAAAATAACCTGTGGCTAGTAGTCACACCAACATTCTTGATTTATCAGTCAGGTAAGCTAAGTGGTTATATAGTGAGTAA